GCAGTTGACTTTCCTTGTTGGATTGATGCCTTCCTCTTTCTCTGCCCAGCTGCTGTCTGGGGATGGGGGTGTAAGTAGGAAAACACCCAGGATCAACAGACCTGGCTGTTTCCACAGGGGTTCTCCCACTCATCCCCAGTCGTTTGCCTTTGGGCCTCCTCCTCCTTCTTGCTCCCCGCATTATTGAGCAGGGAGCGCTCTGGATGTGGCTGCAGTGTGAACCTGTACTCAGAGCTTCAGGGGGCCTCTTTTGTCCTGTGCTGCCTGCCTTCATTCTCTCAGGCACTGCTAGTTTCTGAGCTGATGAGGTTTCCCCTCTAGTTTTTGAGTGTTGCTGTCTATTCAGTCCTTCCTGCTTCCCTCCCTCTCTTTATCCTTCCCTCCCTTCCTTCTTTCCTCCCCTCTTCCCTCTTTCCCTCACTTCTTCCCCTCCCCCCCTTTTTATTTTTGAGACAGAGTGTCACTCTGTCACCCAGGCTGGAGTGCAGTGGCACGATCTCAGCTCACTGCAACCTCCACCTCTCAGGTTCAAGTGATTTTCCTGCCTCAGCCTTCTAAGTAACTGCAATTATAGGTATGAACCACCATGCCTGGGTAATTTCTGTATTTTTAGTAGAGATGGAGTTTCATCATATTGCCCAGGCTGGTCTCAAACTCCTGACCTCAAGTTATCCACCTGCCTCAGCCTCCCAAAGTGCTATGATTACAGGCATGAGACAATGCACCTATCCTCTCTCCCCCTTCCTTCTTTCCTTCCTTCCTTCCTTCTTCCTTTCCCCCCTCCCTCTCTCCTTCTTCTCTCCCTCCTTCCCCCTTTATTTCACCATCTCTGTGATTTGGCAGGGAGGGGAGATCACAGTGTGAGCTTAGCTTTCCATCTTGAAACTGAAAATGAATGTTTTCCTTTCTTCTCACACCCCGCCCTCTGTATATGCTGTATTCTTAACTGTAGTACCCCTCTACACAGTCCCTGTCATATCAGCATAGCAAATTCACACTTACCTTTTAAATCATTACACTTTCTGTGAAGCCTTCCGTAATCCCCCCCCAGACAGTTAACTTTCTCTCCTCTGTTCTGTGGTGGCTTTGGACACCTTTATTTCAGTGCTTATTACGTTATGTTATAACTGTTTTCTGTCATGTCTATCTTGTCTCAGTTGACTATGGGTTTTTTTATCATTTCATTTTTATATCCTTGGTACTTGATGTGTGGTAGGTGCTCACTAAACGTTTATTCAGTGAGTGAATGGTTTTATGGATGATCTAAGTAAACGAAAAAATCAGTTTCACTAACGATGAAATTAATTTGCTATACAAGATGTAATTATAAAGTAATTACAAAGCTAAATCTGGCTATTCAACTCAAGGCCCTTTATTGGCTTCCCCCCATCCGTCCCTTGGAATACATGAAGCTGTGCTGCGTGCTCTCCTTATAATTCCCTTGGTATCCTTTTTACCTTCTTGTTTGTTTGTTTTTTGTTTTAAATAGAGATGGGGCTGGCCATGGTGACTCATACCTGCAGTCCCAGCACTTTGGGAGGCTGAGGTGGGAGGATCACTTGCGATCAAGAGTTCAAGACCAGCCTGGGCAACATGATGAAACCCCATCTCTAGTAAAAATACGAAAATTAGCCAGGTGTGGTGATGCACACCAGTAGTTCCAGCTACTAGGTAGACTGAGGTGGGAGGATCACTTGAGCCAGAGATCATACCACTGCACTCCAGCCTGGGGACAGAGTGAGACCCTGTCTCAACATAAATAAATAAATACATAAAAATTTAAAAAATAAAAAAATGGAGATGGGATTTCACGATGTTGACCAGGCTGGCCCCCAACTCCTGAGCTCAAGGGATCCTCCTACCTCAGCCTCCCAAGTAGCTGGAATTAAGCACATGCCATCATGCTCAGCTTCTTGAAATTCTTTTTAAAATTAAAAAGAATTCAGCAAATATAGTCCAGTCTCATATCTTTCCTTTGTTACCCATGTTTTTGACAACCTTGACCCTATGGATATCTTCAACATATTTGGCTCGGAATAAATTTTCAGCTTGTTCGAAATATTGAATCTATCTTGAAAAGAGATTTTTTTTTCAGAATGTGCTTAGAATGTATGCATAGCTTTAAGCTCCCAAAGACAGTCATACTTTCAGTTATTTTTGAAACTCCAGTAGAGCCTGGTCCTTTACTAGTCTAGAATTTTTGAAAAGAATTTCTAAAACTTCCAAACAGTGGCAGTGTTGTAAGAATTAACTTACAGGTTCCCAAAGCCACTGCTTTTCAAAGAGATGTTACCCATTTGAGTGTCAGAGTTACATTGTGCTTGCTTAAAAAAAAAAAAAAAATAGACAGCATTTTATGATAACATCTTAAACATGTAAGGGAAAAAAAGACTATAATGTTAGCTAGAAGTGTAGGACTGATTCAGTCACGTGACCATGCGGCACCACAGTTTAAAATTAGTTTGAGTCCTCTGCTTATTTCTGATTAAATGGTTAATGTAAATTAATTTAATTCAGAATTGGTTCTCCTGCTATAACCAATGCAAGTCAGACTTCTACTTGGAATCTTAGATCGTATAGCTGATTGATATTGAAGAATATAGGAATGGTTCAAAAGAGAACCACAAAGTAACTATTTAGAAACAAAAGCCTATGGAGAAGGTTTTAAGAAGTAAGATTTTAGAATCCAGATAAAGGGTAGGTAGCTAAGTTTCAACATAGTTACAGCATAATATGGTGTAGAATGACTAGACATTTTTTTCCTTTCTGGTGAGTGAACGAAAACAAATGTCTTCAGTGATGTAGAAGAGTTACAGGGTGCTTTCTAGGAACCTGTGTAGGTAAGTTGCTTACCACCATGCACAGTGGAAAACCCACCCCACTAGCATAAACCTGAAATTAGTTGTATTTTCTCCCTCAAATCAAGATTGTTAAAAATTATTTTACGTTATGTTCACTTCATTTTTCCACTTGAAACACTCCTGTCTCTGCTTGATTTCTGTCCAGAAATAAAGTTTAATAAGATGATCTGCCTACCCACTCCATTCCATCAACATAAGGAGACCTTTGTAGATATAAGAAGGCCTCTGTTTTCAGAAAACCAAAGGCACTGTTTACGAAGGCTTTGTAAAGAATGTTAAACACCAACATATTATTTTTCAAGATACGCTAAATTCTGTATGAAAACTTTATTTGCTCCAAACTTAAAATGATCTTAGAAAAAGTAAAAGTAAAATCTCAAATTAGAACTTACGGCATAATTTAGAGAACTCAAGTTTAATGTTTAAATCACTGTATCTTTGGAATCAGTAATTCTTTACTAAAAGTATATCTTTATTTTTTCTTTTAGTGTCACTTTTCTTTTTAGGCGGAGCAAGTAGCAGTGTTACGTTGTTTATCTCTAACCCACAAAGAGACTTGGAAAAGTCACATAACTTCTCTGAGCCTCAGTTTCTTCCTCTGCAAAATGAGAATATGAATATATGGCTTCTGAGCTCCAAAATGCTTTCAGTGAAGCTAAAATTATCTAAGCCATGTGTGTCTGTGTGCATGTGTGTGTGCCTGTTTATGTGCATTTTTACATGTTATGCATATGCACTAAATATAATTCGCATATACCCAATATTTACATGTATCTGCTCCATCTGTATGCAATTCATTTGTAGGGAAGTTGCTGCATATGTGATGGGGAGCTGCTCAAATGTCCTTTCAGGGCCAATGTACTTACTCCCTCAGTTATTGGGGCTTGCTGGCTGCTGGTGGTGCACATGTGAGCCGCTTTCCATGCATTAGCCTGTGCCGATGAGAGCTGCCATGCCCAAGTTATGCCTGCTCCAGGGGTTTAGTCCTTGTCTGATTACTGGTCAATTTAGGGATAGGGTACAGCTCAGCGACCTCCTTTCCCCAAATGAGGAACAACTCTAAAAGACCATCTAAGCTCCAGAGCCCCCTGTAGGATCAGCTTTGGTCCCTGTTCCAACAGGACTGCAATTCCGATTTTCCCTCTACCCAGTCCTGCATTCCTCACCCCTGAGAAGGGTTATTCCCAAGATCGCTCCCCAATTAACCTTCTCCACACCACTCTTCATCTTAGAGTCTTCCTCCCCACAGGAAGCCAATCTACAACAACATGCATTTCTGGAAATGAATTTACCCTCTTTTGATCTGGCAGCCTTTTTGAATGGTGACACATCTGATGTGGTCACGACACATAACAAATCTGGCTGACAAATATGGAGTTAAACATATATTTTTAGCCTTACTAGGGATGTTCTTAATAGATAGATTGTTCTCCCACCTTTCTAGCCATAGATCTATACATGATACAACTGTGAATCTTGGGACATTTCATTTTTTGAGTTAATACTTTTTATTCCTTCAGTTTTTAATCTTAAAGGAAAAGATAAAGTTGAATGCTTTAGAGTTTAATGATTGAAATGTCTGAATTAATAGGAATGTACTTCATATGAAGTTTACAAAGAGAGTGACAATTTTGTTGCCTGGAAAATCAAGTCAAATTGAAGGTTCTGTTACAATAGAAGTATAAGGTTTACTCAAACTTCGTAAATAGATTTAAAGTTTATTATATTAAAAAAGCAAATCCACTGTTTTCCATGCTCTCCATGGCAATTAAGTTGTTACATTTATCTTCTTTTCTACTGGCCTAGAAATATTGATATTCAGGATGTCAAGGCTGTGTAAAAAGAAGCAGACCCACGAGTACTGGTTGTTTGTTAATATCCATTCACCTACTCTGAATTCTTCTATTTTCTAAAATGCTATTTATTATTCTTGCAGTGACTGCTTGTTTATTTAGGGACTTTTCTATGGTCATTGACGCTTTTTATTCAGGGTTTAGTGGGTAGTGGATATACTGAAGGCTTTTGAACTGTGGCTCTGGTATGAACTCTTAGTTTGTTGTTTAATGTTCAGATTGTCTGTGTACCATTTTTTTCCCTGTTTAATTCCAAAACTCTTGGTTTTAAAATTTGTTTTCTCAGAAGAATTACCTTGTACATGCCCACTATGTACGTCAGACAGAGGGAGCTGTGTTAGTACAACCGAAGGGATCCAACTTGCAAAAGAACTAGGAGCGACCTATCTTGAACTCCACAGCCTTGATGACTTCTACATAGGAAAGTATTTTGGAGGAGTGGTAAGTGGAAATTCCTATTAAGTATAAAGTTACTTGTCAGGTTGGCTCATTAGGTATTTTCTAGAACATCAGTTAGAACTTCAGATTTAAAAGCATGGTTTGTCTTACTTAACCTGGAGAAATAAAATGAGAGTGAGTGCAGAGGTTTTATCAGAATAAAATTATAATTTTATTTTTCTCTCCAAATGAAACCTTTTCTATTATCTGATATTTTGGAATTTTTCATTTGGTGATCTTTAGTAGTCTTTGTTGCATGTATCAAAAGCGTGTTTACTTACCCAAACCTGTGATGCCAGTTTTAATAGTCATCTTTATACAGCTGAATGAGCCTGGCAGCCTGAGCCAGCAGGCCCTGAAAGTTCTCTTTCATTTCCATCTACTAGTTGAAAAAAAAAATTTTTCTTCCTCTATGTGTGCTTTGGCAAAATTTTATATACTCCTAATTTTGTTGTAGCTCAAACAGATTCAGAGGAGCTACTTATACAAATAGCTGCTTGTCGGGTATGTGGGAGCAAGTCTGCTTGCTTGGTTGCAGTGGCGCATATTGGGTTCTGCAGTCATTTTGATACTGATCTTAACACACAGCACTTCCCATATAGTATTAGGACTGTAACGTCCTTGGAGAATACTGTGGAGTTGTATCATTTAAGAATTTGCTGACATAGAAACTACATTTCCAAACCTCTAAGAAGCAACTCCTCTCAACAGACAAATCTGATATACGTGGATGAGAAGTTAAAAGCAAAGAAAACCTGCTTTACGCAGGAGCACCTTGGCATCCCTCATCGGTTCCCTAGCTCTTCACCATGTACTCTTTCCAATATGCCCCAGTAGTCATTATGTAAATTCACGTTGAAATGTTGAGGTTCCACAGATGACTACAGAAGTGTCATTTGTGTAAATGGGTAAAATAAAGACCAAATATAAATGCTGCTAATTTCCATCAAATATAAATGGCTTTTATTTACCCAATAATATAAAGAAACATTAATATTACAATGTTAAGGAAGATATACTCACAATATTGATATTATCGATGACTGTGAGAAACTTTTGTTGCATTCATTTATGGTGATGAGCAGTGAGTAGAAAGGTGGATAAGAGAGATTTAATCTTCCTGTCAAGCAGATTATATTCTAGTGGCTTTTTAAAAATCTTAATTTGGCGAAGAATGGTACGTTTCCTAAAATACCTGGGGAGCTGGAGAGCAAAACGATGGTTTGGTTTTGCTTGTTGTGAAGGTTCATTTGTCAGATAGTTTCATGCATTAGATTTGGTTTATTTGTTGAGGGGAGACCGTTCCCGTGGAAGCCACAGGACTCCTTGCTCCCCGTTCCAGGATCCTGAACCTGAAATTCCCAGGATCACTCTTCCCACCTTCCCACTCCCATTTTCTCTCCTCTCTTTCTCTTCTTCTGGCTCCATTTTTCTCTTTCTTCCTGATATCTAATGTTGCAATTAGGGTTAGAGGCATGATGAGGATTGATGTGGCCAAGGTTGGGAGAAAGACATGGCAGTTTCGTTTTTCCTTAATTTAAGACCTGATGAGAATATGGAAACAAGATCAGAATGATCTCTCTTTAGATGCTTTACTTTCTAGTAAAGTACAACTGGGATCTCAGGTGTAAAATAGAATGGCATTGGCAAGCATATGGATGGAGATGATAATGTTAGAATAAAAGGAGCATTGAAAATCTGCATTTAAGGGTCAGGGTTGAAGAGCTCTGCAGTACTACCCTTAGACCTAGGCCAGAGAGAAAGCCGCCTGCCTTCCAGCTTTAGAGAGCTCCATCTGTCCGTCCTCCAGTTGCACCCCTCCCCACAGGGTACAAGTCAGTGGAGCCAAGGGTTGTACCCACCTGGAGCTGGTGAACTTCATTCCTTTCTAGACCTGCGCTGTCCAGTATGGCAGCCACTGGCTACATGTGGCTATTTATATTTAAGTGAATTGAAATAAAACCAAGTAAAATTCAGTTCTTCAAGCATATGAACCATATTTTAGGTGCTCTAGGGCTACATGTGGCTAGTGGCTACTGTATTATATAATGCATATATTACAGAACATTTCCATCCACACAGAAGGGTCTGTGGAGTAGTGCTAGGACTGTGCTCCCAAACCCAGTACCCCAGAATTCTCTGGCCACTGGTCTTAGGCCTGTTTCGACCTGTGCCAGCCATTTTCCTGGGACAGTCCTCCTGATGGTGGACTACATGGCTGGTATATGTACCCCTAGGCCTGCCCAGTGACCCAAGGGTGAGTCTTTATGGGGAATGGGGGAGGGGGCGGTGGACAGAGCTTGGATGTCCACTTCTGTGCACAGAGCTCTTTAAAGCATGAGTTAGAGCAGGAGGTGAGAAGAGAATGGGTGGTCTTAGGGCTCAGGAATTAGGGACCAGCTCTCCCTTTGCTTTATGAACCTCTGAAGAATCTGAGAATTTAAATATAAATCTTGCCTGTGAGGCTTTTATGATGATGTATTTGTCAAAGCAGAAGTATAGAATATCTTTTATATGTAACGGTTTGTTTTCTTTATTTACAGCATTTAAATATTTAGGTATGTGGTGGGTGGGCCTCCTTTTGGACTTTTGCCCCAGGCCTTGCAAGCTAGGGCACAGGCCTGAAGCTATGTAAATGCACCTGAGTGAGATTTTTAATTTGTAAAGGACAGATTTTAAAGAAATTTGTTCAAGAGAAGAAAGTGAAGTTTCCTGGCTCATAGGAACATCTGTAGACACAGAGGCAGATCTGTTCCTGCTTTGAATTTCACTAATATTAACTGTGGTGGTTGCCCACTGAGAAAATTATTAGCAGCGTCACAATTGTAGAGATTGACTTTCTTGAGTATTCAAGAGAGTAGCTGCGTGGGATGGCATGCGCTTGTAATCCCAGTGACTTGGAAGGCTGAGGCGGGAGGATCCCTTGAGTCCAGGAGTTTGAGTCTAGCTTGAGCAACATAGCAATACTCCATTTCTAAAATTAAAATATATATATATGTGTATATATATATAAAATTTTAAAAAGAGAACCAACAATTCCTTCTTTTAAGAAAAAACTTTTAGATTCAGGGGCACATGTTTGTTATATAGGTAAATTGTGTGTCACGGGGGTTTGGTGTTCAGATTATTTCACCAACAAGGTAATAAGCATAGTACATGGTAGGTAGTTTTCTGATCCTCACCCTCCTCCCTCCCACCACCCTCTCAAGTAGGCCCTGGTGTCTGCTCGTCACTTCTTTGTGTCCATAGGTACTCAATGTTTAGCTCCCACTTACAAGTGAGAACATGTGGTATTTGGTTTCTTGTTCCTGTTAGTTCGTTTAGGATAATGGCCTCTGGCTCCATCCATTTTGCTGCAAAGGACATCGTTTCATTCTTTTTATGTCTGTGTAGTATTCCATCATGTGTATGCACCATGTTTTCTTTATCCAGTCTATTGTTGATGGACATTTAGGTTGATTCTATGTCTTTGCTGCTGTGGATAGTGCATGTGTCTTTGTGGCAGAATGATTAATAACAACTCCTTCTTGAGTGGATAGTTTATTTATGTTCAGAGAAGGCACAGTCTGCTCCACTAGATTCATTTTTTTTAATAAAAAATTGTTTATATGTGTTTGCTAATGCATACATATAAATGGTACTGACATTTAAAATGTTTGACAGTTGTGACTTCGGATACAAATTTTCATGTTGGATATATAGTTTTGTTGGATCTTCAATTAAAATTCGATTCCTGTTTTAGTTGGAGTATTTTATGATTCAAGCCTTAAATCAGAAGACAAGTGAAAAAATGAAGAAAAGAAAAATGAGCAACTCGTTTCATGGAATTAGACCACCTCAACTTGAACAACCAGGTGCATTTCTTAGCCAATGTGTAGACATTCATTAGACATTCATTACAGATCCTTTCTCACAGGTCTTAGAGCAGTTGTTCTCAAACTTGAGCATGCTCAGAGCTTACCTGACATTCTGATTCAGTCAGCCTTGGATAGGGCCTAGAATCTGCGTTAATCAACTTCCCAGATGATGCAGAAGCAGATTGGTACTTGAATCACATTTTGAGAAATACTGCTTTAAAAATTGAGCCTATAGATTCTAAAAGTAATATGTGTCGTGGGTGGAGAGCTGTTCTAGATTAAAGTCTAATGCTAAATAACTACTAAATGCAATGCATGAACCTTGATTGGATACTGGTTTAATAAAAATATCTAGAAGATGTTCCTGCAACATGGGTTAATTTTAATACAGACTGGAAATTAGATTATATCATGTAATTACTGTTAATTTTCTTATGTATCATAATGGTATTGTGATGAATAGGAGAATGTTCCTATTCCCAGGAGATGGAGGTGAAACTATTTTAAAGCCGAAGCATCCTGATGACTGCAACTTTTAAATATTTCAGCTGTGTAGCTGTGTGTGTGTATGTGTTTGCGTGTGTGTGTGTCTTTCTGTCTTTCTAGAGATAAGGGGAAAATAAAATGTTAATAATTGCAAAATCCAGGTGACGGATATATGTGAAGGGTATATGTGTGTTCATTGCATCATTCTTTCAACTTTTTTGAATGTTTGAAAGTATTTTTAATACAAAGTTCAGGGCAAATAAACTTAGTAAATTATATCAACTGTTATCAGAATTTTCTGCATGATTTTGTAATAGAAATAGTAGCCTAGCACTTTATTGGATCAATATCCTTTGGAATTTAAGAGACCCCATCTCTTTAAAAAAGTGCAGATATATAGACCACATATAAATCTAAATGATACACATTTGGCTTTGAATTTCCTGGTGTGCAAAGGGAAAGGGGAGACATGGTCTATTAGGTTGCAAACCCTTGGGCATTAAATCCTTTCTGGATTAGAAAATGAGTGGGAAATGACCAGATAAATAATGTAGATAGTTCTTAGTTCTCATTAATCAAGAAGACAAAACATACTACATCCTCAGAGAAAGCAAAACATTACATGTCATTTAGCTCTAAAAGAAATACCGAGGCGGGCGGATCACAAGGTCAGGAGATCGAGACCATCCTGGCTTAGCCGGGCGAGGTGGCGGGTGCCTGTAGTCCAGCTACTCAGGAGGCTGAGGCAGGAGAATGGCGTAAACCCAGAAGGCGGAGCTTGCAGTGAGCCGAGATCGCGCTACTGCACTCCAGCCTGGGTGACAGAGCAAGACTCCGTCTCAAAAAAAAAAAAAAAAAGAAAGAAATATCTGGGCCCAGGCATGGTGGCTCATGCCTATAATCCTAGCACTTTGGGAGGCCAAAGTGGGCAGATCAGCAGGGGTCAGGAGTTCCAGACCAGCCTGGCCAACATGGTGAAACCCTGTTTCTACTAAAAATACAAAAATTAGCGGAGCATGATGGTGACGCCTGTAGTCCCAGCTACTCACGAGACTGAGGCAGGAGAACTGCATGAACTGGGGAGGCAGAGGTTACAGTGAGCCAAGATCATACCACTGCACTCCAGTGAGACTCTGTCTCAAAAAAAAACAAAAAAGAGAAAAAAGAAATCTCTTGTGTGGGTCTTCATGTGGGGGCACTAAGTGATATAGTGGACAGGGCCTTCAAAAGTGTCTCTTCAGGAAATGCAGCCTCAGCGTTCACAGAGCTTGTACTCTTCTGTTAGGACAGCTGTGTGTAAAACACTAAAGATATCCCAGGGGTTCAGAATAATACAGTCTGGGTACATATTTAGGGCTGATTTGTTCCAAGGACGGATCCTGGGCTCTGGGGCACATTGCATTTAGGGTTTTGTGAGGGCGCCACAGGCAGTGGAAGGGAGGAGGGTAGACTGGAATACATTGCAGGGAGAGCCTGGCCTCCAAAGGACTTTGTTATTATCTGTTTTATAGGCTGGGGTTTGCTTTGGAAGCAAGGATTTTTATTGCTAAAGAAGTTTGAATTTCACTGATTTAGATGGTTCCTTATCCTTCAACACTGCACAAATATTACTTTCCTCAGCTCCTCTTTGGATAAAAATGAGATGGCAGATGTTTTACAGTTAGGGTTGGTGGAGAGGGCCTGGAGTGTAGGTATTCTGAGTTGATTGAGGGCTCATCTCTCTTTATTGGTGATCAAACTAGTAGACTGAAGGTTATATCCTCTATTAGAAATTAGGGAGCTGAGTCAGCACTTTTGCTGAAGCATTTTACTAGAAGGAAAAGTACTAATTTTGGAATCCAGATAAAGGGGTCAAAATGTTTTCCAACAATAGTGTTCAAGACAGTGAGCCTTGACTTTGAGAAGTTGCAGAATTTTAACAGCTCAGCCGTCTACCTCTGCTTCTGGTCCCAAGAGGAAAGGGGCTTCAGATGTGAGGTTGGGTTCTTCAGAACTTATTTAGTACTTTGAACTTTTAAAATCGAGTAGAAGTAAAGAATGATGACTATGAAATACTAAAGTTCGGTATTTGGCGGGTTGTTTTATTTTGGGACACACAAGTAAGAAGAAATGTTATTTTATTGTTCCGTACGTCATTAGTAAGTTCTTCATTTGCTCTATAAAATGTAAATAAACATAGTATTTGTGTGTCTGTGTTATAAAATTCTGTAGTCCCTGAATAATTAGTTTATATATGTTTGTAAATTAGGTTTGCTGTACAAAATTGCTGTTTTTGTGCATCAAAAAATGGTTAAATATTGGCTGTTTCTTATGGTTTAACCTAATAATCTTTTAAAATATTATACAATTGTATTTAAAGTAAACATAAAATTATTGGGTCTGTAAACCTGAAAGGAGTTTATTATTTTTATTTTCTTTTTCAAAACAGAAAAAATGCCTGTCTTAAAGGCCGAAGCATCACATTATAACGCTGACCTAAATAACTTGCTGTTCTGCTGCCAGTGTGTGGACGTGGTATTTTACAACCCCAATTTAAAGGAAGTTGTAGAGGCCCACAAGATCGTTCTCTGCGCTGTAAGCCATGTTTTCATGCTGCTTTTCAATGTGAAGAGTCCCACTGACATTCAGGATTCCAGTATCATCCGAACTACCCAGGATCTCTTTGCTATAAACAGAGATACTGCATTTCCAGGTGCTAGCCAGGAATCTTCAGGCAACCCACCATTACGAGTCATTGTTAAAGACGCCGTCTTCTGTTCTTGTTTATCAGACATCCTTCGCTTCATTTATTCAGGTATCTTGTCAAGTGGTTCTGGTTACTTACAATCTCATAAACTTTGCAAATGAAACGTGCCTGTGGTGCTCAAGGGTACTGGTTAGTTTTACAGTGATCTTTTCCTACCATCTGGGATGAAGATTATACATGAAATATTATTTGCTTTATATATAGGAATTGGTCCAAGCTTTCTGTTTTCCTTACAAACGTACTTGCCTCATCTTTTTCCTATCAATTTCATATTACTGTGGTAAAATATATGGAACATAAATTTTACTATCTTAGCCATTTTTAAGAACACAGTTCAGTGGAATTAAACACATTCATAATGTTATGTAACTATCACCACCATCCGTGTCCATAATTCTTTTCATCTTATAAAACTGAAACTCTCTACCCATTAAACAATGATTCCCCATTCCACCCTCTTTCCAGCCACTGACAGCCACCATTCTACTTTCTGTCTCTGTGATTTTAACTCTCCTAAGTGCCTCATGTAAGTGGAATCATACAGTATTTGTCATTTTGTGATTGACTTATTTTACTTAGCATAATGTCTTAAAGGTTCATCCAAGTTGTGGTGTGTATCAGGATTTTCTTCCTTTGAAGGTTGATCATATTCTGTAGTACCTATAGACCACATTTTGTTAACCCATTCGTTCATCCATGGACACGTGGGTTGCTTCTGCTGTTGCAGCGATTGTGAATAATGCTGCTGTGAACATAGTGTACAAATACCTCTTTTGAGACTCTGCTTTTATTTTTTGTTTGCATATATACACAGAAGTGGAATTGCTGGATCACATGGTAATTCTATTTTTGATTTTTTACAGAACTGTCATACTGTTTTCCACAGTAGCTATACCACTTCACGTGCCTACAAACTGTGCACAAGGGTTCCAATTTCTACACATCCTTGCCAACACTTGCTATTTATTTTTTTTAATGGTAGCCATCTTAATGGGCATGACGTGGTATCTAATTTTGGTATTGATTTGCATTTCCCTAATGATTAGTGATATCAAGCATCTTTTCATATGTTTTTGTATTTGCCTTGGTTTTAAATCTACTTGTAAAAACAATAATCTACCAAACAGATATGTTAATATTTTATTTCCTTAAAAAACATCCAAAATATGAAATATGAGAATTTATTGTCCAATTTCATTTTAAAGACATAAAATATTTCAAGAGTAAGTGAAATCAAATGTCTATACCTTAAAACCTAGCTATTCACTCTTCAGTTCGACTCTTAGATTTTGTAGGCCGTCAAAGAGAGTTGCATTCAGCTTAGGAACTGGAAATCAATATCCAGTGTTAGTTGAGGTCTGATTAACTTTGGCCATGACTATCATAGACGTTACTTTTTTTTTTCTTTACTGGGCCCTTTCTTTTTAAGATTCAGCTTATCAAGTATTTTTCTCTTTGCCCTTTTAAAAACTCAGCAGCAACTATATTTTAAAGATAGAAGTTCTATCTGAGTCATTTTAGCAAATGAATTGAAGGTCTTACATCTAAGTGTCCCGTGTAAGAATGGAAAAGAACAGATGTAAAATGAATTTTAATGTAAGCATCTAAATATAAGTTTTCTGAGAACTCCTGTCTTTAATTTTCTTTACCCACTTCAAATCATGTACCGACGACCTGTTAAGCTAAGGTCACTCCTGCCCTGCAATGTGTCTGGAGAAACATTTATAATTAATTTGTTTTTAGGCTTCCAATAAAGCCTAATTGGGAACAGATAAAAAGTTTTAAGGTTTGCAAAACAAGTATCATTTCCTACAGGTAGGGAAATTAGGGGCAGCCTTTATTTAAGTAATTGATTATAAAAATAAGGTATTACTTTGTTCATGTGGGTTGTGATCATGTAATTTTATAAGTTAAAACTTAAATTATGATTTTGAAAAGTACAATTGCAGCATGCAGATTTATGTGGATAAAAAATACATATTGGAGTAGAATGTGGTGCTAGGTTAGTGAAATATTGGCTTGGAAAAGGCATAAATTAAGCACCTGTACAGCACACACCCAGCACATTGCCTTCAACGGGTTCTCTCTAAGTTTTAGTTGAATTACAGGGAAGGCTACAGTAGCCGGGCATCATCATATCAATAAGCCAAACTACTTAAAGACTTCATTTAGTACTATAGATTTTAATGTTTAAACTTAGAATGTCACAGTTCAGAATTTAAGATTTTAAAAAACTAACATGTTTACATGTTAAGAGAAAAAAAATATTTTTAATCATATGTCTAAGGAACTGTGAGGAACGTGACTTTTTTATGATAATTTTCTGTTGAAATTAAGTGAATTATTCAGCAGGTTTCCAAAATCATTATTGACTACTTTCAAAGACACATGAGCACTCTGAAGTCTTATATCCTTTTTAATACAGTAGCAGTAAAATAGCTAGATGTATCTCCAGTGGTTGATTCTGCCTAGCTTTCTCCTAGGGGGAGTGCTTTATTTAATTGCAAACTTAATACAGGCAGATGGAAAAAAAGGGAAAGAAAAGAAAAAAGTTATCCTTTTACCCCAGACCCTTTCCCCAGAGTCATTTACCTGTTGTAAATTTTTTGTGCATTCATTCTGATACTGTTTGAAAGAGATATACGGGGGACATTTGCATTGGTAAAAATGTAATCCTAGGTAGCTGCTGCTTTCCAGGGATCACAGGCCATTTCCCATGACTGGAGCATAGAGTGAAAGGTGATGGCTGATGGGTGATGAGGTGGGCAAGGTCTGTGGAAGCTGTTCCTGCTGCTCTTAGACTTGTGTTAGAGTTTGAAGCATGATCAGTCTGGGCTTTAGAAAGCTCATCTCTGGTGATGGTTGGAGGGTGGAACAGTGCAGCCAAGACAGGCATTCAATCAGGAGGTCCCATTACTCTGGCGATCAGCCTCAGGAAGGCCAACATTCAGACAATGGGTGGCCCTGCCCTTGGCCCTTCATCATCTAGACCAGTGCTTTTCAAACCTTCAAGTGTATGCAGATCATCTGAGGATCTTGTTCCTGTGGAGATTCTGATTCAGTTGCCTGGAGTGGGGCATGAGTTTCTGTGTTTCCAGTAGTCAGTCTCCCAGGTGGTGCTGGATCTCTGGACTACCAGAAGCAGCTGGAATACCTGCTTTTGGAAGAACTGGGAACCAGCCAAAGCCAGCACACTAGGGCCTAGAATTCAGTGCAGAGGCCTGAGAAGGCTACCAAGTTATCAGCTTAGGATTCAAAGTAAAAATGGGGTGAGCTGCAAGGCTGACTGAGGCAGGGCTATTTGGAACTGGGGCTCTCAGTGCCCTGTGTGTCCCCTGCCTGACATGAGGAAAAGTGGATGCCTAGTGGTTGGGTGGAAATTAAGTAAGGCTGGAATAGGGATCGGAGGGCAGGCAGGCATGATGGTGTGAAGAACCTGCTGAGCTACAGGTCTTCAACCAGTTCAGAGTCCTGGCTTCTTAACCTGACACTCACCTGTTCCATTTCGGCTGTGATCTCTCCTTGTATGTCACGGCCAAAGCCGGAGATGCTGTCTGCTCTGAGCAGGAGCACGGGCCGTTGACCTGGGGCTGCAGAGACCCAGATACTGGTTAAGGAAAAGTGAAAATAACTGGTTCTGCAGGTACCTATTTATTATTCTTTAATTATTTACAGATTACAATCTCTGGCTCAAGGAAGGGTTTCATTTACATTATGTTAAAAAGAGATATCAAAGCTGTATTTGCACAGAAAAGACAATTTTGAAAAATGCTGAAAATTAAGAGAAAAAAATTTACCCAGATTCCACTATCAACAGAAAATGTCTAAACATTTATTGTTTTGTTTGATCCTCTGGTCGTTTGTGTATAAATAAGTGACACTGGTTTTGAAAGCATATATTTTGTAATCAAGTCAAACAAAAATTTTAAACCTACAGTTTTCTCAAAGACTTCAATAAATGGGCCAGGCTTGTTTTGTTGTTTGTTTGTTTTTTAACAGTTTTAAACCTGTGAATAGAATACAAGTGTTAAGGCACAGTTTTGCAGTGGTTTTCCCGCAGAAGTGCCGTGGTCTGCCCTTGGGTTTTGCTAGAGAACCACTGAAGACAGGAGTTGTTTGTTTGTGTTCCCATCAGATGAGTTGGTAAAGCAGAGGTTGAACTCCATCGTGGGCTCAGGAATATTTGCCTTGAGCAAACATGGGCTAGAAAATTGTAATAAGCCTATCTTGTGTCCTTTTTTTTTTTTTTTAAAGAACCAAATTACAAAGAATATCTTAATTCTTTTTAAATAACATGCTTTTTTTTAACCTTTAGGAATTTGAATTTTGGTGTGTATTGTGTCACCATGAACATTTGGGTCGTTATTTAGGAGGGACCTGTTTAACAACAGTCCAGTTAACATTTTACACCTATATATTCCTATTGAAATTTTTGATTCAATAGACACAGTCAAGGTATGTCTGTTTTGTATATGTTAGTTTTCTATTGAATAACAACAAAACACCGCGTAACATGTAAGTACTAAACTACTAATCCTAAGGAACAAGGAGTAATGTGATAAGTGAAGCCAGCCCTTTCCTGGTCTTCAGGGAGTAATTCTTACATGGCATACAATTGTAACATTCTTATAATACTTGATACAGTCTTATGCTTGCACATTCTTGAGTCACATGATCTCAGATGGTTAGGAAGTGAAGTAATTGTAAGAACCTCAAGAATTTAGCTTTGAGCTCTTCCTGCCACAGATGGCCCTTAGAGTTTCACATCACTTCTTGAAATGCCATCAGAGTAAACAAATATGTAGAAGCAAGCTTTCATCTTCCGTTTGCATAGCATTCTCCAGTTCTTAGAATTATTCCATGGCATGCCCTTTTCTGTATTGCGTAAAAACACAGTGTAGTATATGTGAGTATACCATGCGCCCTAAAAGTCTAAGTGAATTCAGTGCTTTAAGAAGTTAACTAAAGAAAATCCCAGTCAGTGATACAAGATGTCATCCTGCCCTTGTCTGCAGTCAGTCAATCAGTAAAGTTATGCCAGATGAGTAAGTTCTGGAGACCTGCTGTATGACATTTTGCCTATTGTTAATGATACTGTAGTATATACTTAAAAGTTTGCTAAGAGGGTAAATCTGATGTTAAATGTTTTTACCACTGGAAAAATAAAAAGAAAGTCCCAGTCTTAGGACTATTGGCTTATTAGGACTTGAAAGTTTCAAAGATGACTTGATTAATGTTTCTAATTATGAAAACAGCCCAATCATCAGTGTGCTCTTGAGAATTAGTCTTACTTTCATTTTCAGTGATTGATTCTTCCTGTGTGTGTTCTCAGACAGTTCAGTGGCCTGTGGGGATTTACCTGCTACTAACTCCATCTACTTAGATTATTTGATGCTTGCTTGCTTGCTTTTAGATAGTCTTCTGAATGGAGATATTTTATAGGTATTTTTTAGTTAATATGCTTTTACTTAAATAACAATGTAACTTTTACATATGTAAGTATGTAAGAGAACACAGAGACAGTACTTGTGTTCTTCTTTAGACTGGATGAGTGTAGACAATAAAAAATACCTACATGTTCCCTTTTTTCTGCATACCACTAACACTGGGTTTCGGTAATGGCTGAAATTTCTTTCCTTTTTCCTCTTTTTTTTTTTTTTTTTGAGACAGGGTCTCACTCTGTTGCTCCCGCTGGAGTGCAGTGGCATGATCACGGCTCACTGAAATCTCTGCCTCCTGGGTTCAAGCAGTTCTCCTGCCTCAGCCTCCCGAGTAGCTGGGATTACAGGCACATACCACCATGCCCAGCTAATTTTTGTATTTTTAGTAGAGACGGGGCTTCCCCATGTTAGCCAGGCTGGTCTCAAACTCTGTGGCTGAAATTTCTAAAGGGAAAACAGTGGCCATCAGCAGCATACAATGCACATTAGGGTCACCGGGGAGGATTTTAAAACACTGATGCCAGGGGCGTCAGGCTCAGAAATTCTAATTTACTTGATCTGGAGATGAGACCTCCTCTGATGGTATTTTATAAAAGATCCCAGGTATTTATAATACACAGGTGTGGTTGATAGTCACTGGCATAGAGTAATGTTCTTGATCTGGGATCCATTGGCTTCTAAGGGGTTTTTATGCTCTGACATTGTTATACTGACTTTAATGTTTGTATGCACATTAAATTTTCTGGTGATACAATCCAAAGAATTTATGAGATGGGAAAAGAGGATGTGGCCACAGAGTTAAAAAGCATTCATGCAGAAAGAGAGAAACAGAAATCATAGAGCTCTTCTACACTACACAGCTTTGGGAATTTGAGGAGGAAGAGGAGCAATCAGTGAAGGCATAAAAAGCACTAGCAAAGGCAGAAAGAAGCAGTGGTGTGCTGGAGCTGGCACCAGCTTGTGAGAGCCCAGTTGTGTTTATCATCCCCATTTCCTTGTTCTGTGATGTCATGTTGGTAGCATCACAGAAATGGCAAATGCTACATATCATTTGACTCCCTCCCCCAGGACACACTGTAAATACTTACATTAGGAAGGCCAGGTGGGGAGAAGTTGAAAGGATGCACAATAGTGCTCAGTGCTGCCAGGCTCAGCTGTAAAGAGCCTGAGAGCTTCTGGACTTGCAGTCTGCCCCTTCTGATTGGATTTGGTTCCAGACTGGCTGCAATTGCCTGATCTCATTGGTTTAATAAGTGTTTATGTGCCTGCCTCATACCCCAATATCCATGAATGCATCTGGTGAGTGCTGAATACAGGAAGGAAAACATTAGAAGAAATAACTGAGAGCAGATTGAAAAGGATCTTGAATTACCCAGAGAGGTGAAGTGATTTGTCACACTAGTAGTCAATAGCTGAGGTAGAACTGGATCCTAACTATACTGCCCACACTAGGCTTCCTGAATTCTATTTTATGAAATAGGACCTTCTATAAATCATAGGATGGATGCGGGTAATCTCTTGGAATATCATGATCAGATTCGTGCTTTCAAAAACTCACCAACTTTGAGTAATAGGATGGGTTTGATGGGGAAAAGACTGTTAGGGAGCAGGGAGGTTGGATGGGAGGTTGCTGCAGGCCAAGTGAGAGAAGTCCTTGGGGAAAAGGTCAGCTTTTGCTGACCATAGAATAAGAATTTTGTAAGACATAGAGGAAAAGGGGCTGCCAGAGTGGGAGAAGTGAAATGAGCTTGGGGAGAGTTTTGAAGTGAACTGGGGAAAGGCAAGGGATGGTGGGGTGATTTTGCTCCAATGACATGAGCTACATGGATGATGTAGCTCCCTTCCTCGGGCTGGTTTTGTAGAGTTGACTCTCAGACATCCCAGTCTGCCCCTGACAAAACATGAGACCTTCTGAATGCATTCTATGGCTGCTGCATGTTCCTCTACCTGATGATAGTCACTGCTGCCCATGACTAGTAAGATTTAATTCACCCTTGGGAAAGACCACATCTACCTTCTTACTCAGGACAAGTAAATAATTTGGATGCTGGACCACTTGTCATGGTAATTCATATTCAGACCATTGCTGTTATCACTAGCTGGCCACCTATTGCAGAGAGGTAGCAGCAGTCCGGGGAGGAAGAATTCAGATTTTGAGAAATAATTTAGGGGAAGTTAAACTGTTTTTTTGAAATGTAAGTACTGTTTAAATGTTTTAGTATAGTTATAAGGATATATACATAGTAAAGAAAAATTAAAAGAAATCACTAAAAAAAGGGAATGTTGTATTTAATAAGAGATTTACTTGAGTTACTTCCTCATTTAACAGAAAAATCCAGCATGTACTAATTTGTTTACAGGTGCTTTTCAGTGGGAAGAATTGGAAGAAGATATCAGGAAGAAGTTGAAAGATTCTGGGGATGTTTCAAATGTAATCGAGAAAGTTAAATGCATTTTAAAAACACCAGGAAAGGTAAATTAATTTGTTGTAAGTTAGTTAACTTTGACTCTCTGAATTATAACTCACATACTATGATGAATATAAAATTGAGTCCTTAGAAGAGTCAAATACTATATAAATGTAAATATTTCCCTTAAGTATATTTTGCCATTTAAATATTGAAAACATAAGCATGGGTTATTTGTATCTTAGATTGAGTGTGTATGTGTGTGACAGGGTCTCACTGTGTTGCCCCGGTGGGAGGGCGGTGAAATGATCTTGGCTCACTGCAGCCTCCACCTCCTGGGCTCAAGTGACATCTCCCACCTCAGACCCCCCAGGGGCTGGGACTACAGATATGCGTCACCACACCTAGCTAATTTTTATATTTTTTGTAGAGATGTGGTTTTTCCATGTTGCCCAGGCTAGTCTCCAACTCCTGGGCTCAAGCGATCTGCCCACCATAGCCTCCCAAGGTGCTGGGAGTACAGGCATGAGCCACCACACTCGGCCCTATCTTAGACTTTATGTAAGAATTAAAATATGTGTGAGTCATGTCTTTAAAATGCTCGTTTGCGAATTCTGCCTTCTGAAACATTCCCCTGGAGCTCTGGGAATACACCATCTATATCAAGAATAAAAGGCTGTTTAATTTGTCCAGCTACGGTTAAGGTTATTAGAGAGGCTGCCTTCTCACTCCTCACAGTTTAAGTTTCAAATAGTTTCTGAGAGGAAGGCAGTTCTATATGTCCCTTTTTCAAGTGTTCTGAGAAATCTATTCAATGAGGTGGACAGTTAAGGATTATCTCATCAATTATAGGTTCAAAATTATAAATTAGATTCAAGTTTACAAAAACAGACTTTGTATATTGCCATAGACTGGTGCACATTAAAACTCTAGTGACTTGATATTGTATAGTCTGTAAGGGCTTTAAAAAACATTTCAAAACTTTAGCACATTACACAGTTTAGCCAGTGTATTCTTTTTTCTGATTTTGTGATAAACAAATTGACTGCAGTATATAAATAAGGTAAGTTATATGCAGTGCTTAGCGGAATAAAGATATATATTCACCATAAGAAAAATGATTATTCTTTTAATTTTTTAATACAGATGACTTTTCTGTTTTCTAAAACCTGTTAACATTTTAAAGTTAATGTTTTACAAATATAAAACTGTACTAGCTTAGAGTGAAGATTCTTGATTGTTCTTTAGTTGAGAAATAGTCTTTTTTACAAACAAAGTAACGTGGAATTAAGGAGTAAGTTTTTTTTGTTGTTTTTTTTTTAGTAACACATTGAAGCAGGTATACAGAAGCTGTCCAGTTTTACAAGTATATGGCAGGATGGTAGCTCTTGCAGTCTAATTGAACTAAATAATCCTTTGTAAAAATGTGCACATATGCCTATATTCTCATTTTCAAAACAGTTCATCTAGTTGTCTTGATTAACTTGTTTATGCACCAGTAAAAATGTACATCACATACATTTGTGTTCTCTCAAACTTCTGCCCTCCCATTTTTTTCAAATTCAAAACAGAATTGAGGAGGGAATCTGTTTATAGATTCTCTCCCTCTCTCTCCAGTTCTCTCTCTTATACATTCATGTGTAATATACATCTGTAAAATATTCACAGTATGCAAATTCATAACCTTTATATGGCTGACAAGTACAGAAATGTTGACTTTTCTTCTAACCCTGAACCTTTTCTTGAGTCTGATTCGGAACACATTCCTTTGAATACAGAGAATAAAATGAATTCTTGTTGGGGAAAGGGAAGGCTGGGTGATACGATTCCATGGTATTGCACTGAATTCCCTCTGCATAGGGGGAAAGAAGAGTTCTTTCACCCCTTCTTCTTGTGCTTTCCCAGGGTAAGGGGCTGTCTCATTTACTCAGTACCACACGGGGATGTAACCCCGAATTGGGACTCGGGGAAATGGTAGATTACAATTGTGAATTTGCCACAAATCATCTCTGTGGCTTTGAGTGCATCAGGGCTTCCTATAAAATGAGGAATAAATTGGATGGTTTTTGAAGACTCTGTGAGCTGTCCACTTTGGTGACACTTTTTGTTTGTTTGTTGTTTTTTTGAGACGGAGTCTCGCTCAGTCACCCGGGCTGGAGTGTCATGGCGCGATCTTGGCTCACTGCAAGCTCTGCCTCCCAGGTTCACGCCATTCTCCTACCTCAGCCTCTTGAGTAGCTGGGAATACAGGCGCCTGCCACCACCACGCCTGGCTAATTTTTTTGTATTTTTAGTAGAGACGGGGTTTCACTGTGTTAGCCAGGATGGTCTCGATCTCCTGACCTCGTGATCCGCCCGCCTCGGCTTCCCAAAGTGCTGAGATTACAGGCAAGAGCCACCGCACCCAGCCGGTGATGCTTTTTGACTGTTACTCTCCTTTACGCGTGGCAGGCACTTGACTCCCATCCCCGAATTCCTTGATGGTATGTTGTGTATAGGATCTTAGAGTGACTGTATAGGACCAGGATTTGTATGATCCTGTTTTGCCTATGGATGCCATTCTGGAATGTTTTCTGCTGTCTTAGGAGGAAGAATATTATCATTTCCCCGCCCCCACCACCAAATATTTTTAACTTCCCACCATAGTAGATTAATTTAGAGTGAGAAGTAGATGTCATTTATTCTTATTACTGCTAATGTTGTGTGTTTATTTCTTAGGGATAAAGCTTTCAGAGTTCCCTAGCTAGCCGAGCAGAGGATTAGCATTCTGACCAGGGCTGGGGCTCTGAGATTCAGCAGGGGGAATGGGTGGAGACATCAGAATTTAAAATGAATAAAATATGATATTTCAATACAAATCCCAACTAAATCATTCCAAATTAGGGAACAACATAGACTTTAAGCAAGATTGCAGTCCTAATGAATCTTAGTATTTAAAATGACTTACTATTTCATCATCATTTGGGTAACATTACCTGAAAATATTCAGGCTTGTTTTGTTTACCCACTGTAAATAGAGTAAAATTAAAAGAAAAAGAGAGAGAGAGAAAGGAAGAAAGGAAAAGAAAAGAAATGGGTGGAGGGTATGGAAAGGGAGGCTGGCCCTTGACTACCAGGAGGGTTGGCACAAAGGGAATGCCTGAAGACCACAGAAAGGATAAAGCACTGAAGCCTGAGTTGGACAGAGGGGCTGCTCCCAGAGCCACCAGCTCCAGCCAGGCGCGTCAGGACAGACGAGTTACCAAGGGAGAGGGTCTCAGGAATGCCAGATCAGAAACCCGGGAAGGTCTTTGTAGGTTCTAGTGGGCTCTGCTGTGAGTAGGAAGGACAATTAGGATTATATGATTGGACATGAAGATGGAGGTGAACCACCTGGGCCTGGTGGCTCACACCTGTAATCCTAGCATTTTGGGAGACCGAGGCAGGCACATTGCCTGAGGTTAGGAGTTTGAGACCAGCCTGGGAAACATGGAAAAACCCTGTCTCTACAAAAAATTAGCTGGGCATGGTGATGCACACTTGTAGTCCCAGCTTCTCGGGAGGCTGAGGCATGAGAAGCACTTGAGCCTGGGAGGTGGAGGTTGCAATGAGCCAAGATCGCGCCATTGCACTCTAGCCTGGGCCACAGAGCAAGACTCCATCTCAAAAAAGATGGAGATGAACCAACTCATCGGTTATTTTTTAAATGTTCACTGCTTTAAGAGAAAGTGTTAAGCTAGTAAGCAGAAGGATATGGTGTGATAAGGGAAAGATGTATTTTTCTTTTTTTTTTTTTCCCCGGAGACAGAGTCTCACTCTTTCGCCCAGGCTGGAGTGCAGTGGCGTAATCTCAGCTCACTACAGCCTCCACCTCCCGGGTTCAAGTGATTCTACTGCCTCAGCCTCCCGAGTAGCTGTTATTACAGGCACGCACCACCATGTACAGCTAATTTTTGTATTTTCAGTAGAAATGGGGTTTCGCTATGTTGGCCAGGCTCATCTCAAACTCCAGACCTCAGGTGTCCACCTTGGCCTCCAAAGTGCTGAGCCACTGCGCCCGGCCAAAAAATGTATTTTTCTTAATTACAAATCAAGTACTATCTTAATGAACAAATTAGGTTGTACTTGTAAACATATTTTAGTAGTAGGCATTTGTGTGGGTTGGACTACTGTTGTCTGTTTCCCGACAAAGACTCATGGAGGTTTTAGGACCTTGCAGCTTCTCAGCCATGGAGCTGAGTTTTCTCTTAGGCAGTTCGTTTACTGCTGTGAATGCTGAAGAGAGCAGTGTTGTTCACTGACAGGCAGCCCATACCGTTCTTGAAGGTAAGTTCCTTTGAAACCTATGATCAGAGATGCCATAGAGTATGGAATCATATTTCTTTTGAGATTTAGCATAATTTTCCAAATTCTTAGCCTAGCCTGTATGTTATCAAAGCATATTAAACACCTTCCCCCTGTATTTTGTTTTCCCTGGTAGATTAATTGCCTAAGGAATTGCAAAACCTATCAAGCCAGAAAACCTCTGTGGTTTTATAACACTTCACTCAAGTTTTTCCTTAATAAGCCGATGCTTGCCGATGTTGTCTTCGAAATTCAAGGTATGGATGAACTTTTACAAAGTTTATGATTCATTTTTATTTCTTGTTTCTTTCCTTGCTGTCTACTTCAGATTGGAATGTTTGTTGTGAAGGAATGATTATTCCCTATTATCCCCTATTGAGGGATGTAGATTAATGCTACCTTAAAGTCAACAAAATCTTCCGGGTAAATAGGAAGTATTTTATTAAAATGAGAAGAGAAATTTATATTTCCCTTAGTATTTTTTTCCTTTGCCATATGCTTCATCAACTTTTAGGGCCTAGCAAGGGATGGGATGATCTGTAATATTTTATTGTATATTTTTGTGTGTATTTCTTTAAGATCCTAGTGTTTGCTGCATCTGGAGCTAACCCCTTTAAAATTATATTATATCTAGCTTATTTTATCCAGCTCTCTTACTTTTTATTTGAGAAAAAGGAATTGACCATTATTTTTTTCAGCTGTCTTGTTTCTTTTGAGAAAAAGGATTGAGGGTTATGCCTGGCCCACCTCAGGCACCCATAGATATTGCTACATTTATTCCTCACAGCACTTTGAGAATTTTACCACCAGAGCAACTGAGAGCTGCTGCTTATCTCTCTAAGAAAGTAAGACTACCTAATTTTAATGAAGATGGGCTGTTTGAGTGCCCATTATTGATTACTCGCTTGGATAATTTTGTCACTTTAGTAGATTAAGATCTAAAGAATGTGGTGGGAGCTGCCAGCACACAAGGTGCCAACGGGCAGGGGAGAGGCAGAGGGAGGGGACGTGGGCTTATCGCCATGTGCGTCTTGCCTTCTGTCCCTCACTGGCCGCTGACCTGTCTGACTGCACCAGCTCTGCTGCTGCCCCACAGAAATACTTGGATTACCCAGTCTTTCCGCATATGAGACCGGTGTCAGAATACTGGGCTCCTCATCTCATTTGGGCTTATGCCAAAGATGTAAAATTTGGTGCAGGTGCCTGAGCCTTAATGCTTCAAAGTGTCAACCTTTTAGTCAAAGCCATAGCTGCTACAGTGGGGCCGAAGGGAAGAACTGTGATTATTGAATGAAGCTAGGGAAGTCCCAGAGTAACAAAAGATGGTGTGACTGTTGCAAAGTCAATTGGCTTAAAGGATAAATATAAAAATATTGGAGCTAAGCTTGTTGCCAGTAACACTAAGATGTTGCCAATAGCACAAATGAAGAGGCTGGAGGTGGCACCACCACTGCTACTGTACTCGCACACCCTGTGGTCAAGAAAGGTTTTGAGAAGATTAGCAGAGGTGCTAATCCAGTGAAAATCAGAAAAGGTATGATGTTAGCTATTGATGCTCTAATTGCTGAACTTAAGAAGCAGCCTAACTCCAGCCTGGGCGACAGAGCGAGACTCCATCTCAAAAAAATAAAAAGCAGTCTAAACCTGTGACAACCCTTGAAGAAATTATTCAGGTTGCTACAATTTCTGCAAATAGAGACAAAAAAAGTCAGCAACATTATTTCTGAAGCAATGAAAGGGGTTGGAAGAAAGGCTGTCATTACAGTAAAGGATGGAAAAACACTGAATGGTGCATTAGAATCACCATATCTAATTTTTGCATACCTATTAGTACATCGAAATTTTTGCATACTTTATTAATACATTGAATAATTAGGCTAAATTTTCACATAACTTATTAATACATCGAAAGGTCAGAAACGTGAATTCAAGGATGCCTATGTTCCGTTGAGTGAAACAGAAATGTCTAGTACCCAGTCTGTTGTACCTACTCTTGAAATTGCCAGTGCTCACTATAAGCCTTTGGTTGTCATTGCTGAAGATGTTGATGGAGAAGCTCTATAAACTTCCCTTTTGAATAGGCTGAAAGTTGATCTTCAGGTTATAGCAGTGAAAGCTCCAGGTTTATTGACAATAGAAAGAACCAGCTTAAAGATACGGCTCTTGCTGCTGGTGGTGCAGTGTTTGCAGAAGAGGGGTTGGCCTCATAACACAGGAAAAGTTGGAGAGGTCATTGTGACCAAAGGTGATGCTGTGCTCTTTAAAGGAAATGGTGACAAGTCTTGAATTGAAAATTATATTCAAGAAATCATTGAGCAGTTAGATATCACAGCTAGTGAATATGAAAAGGGAAAACTGAATGAATGGCAAAACTTTAAAATGGAGTAGCTGTGCTGAAGGTTGGTGTGGCAAGTGATGTCAAAATGAATGAAAAGAAAGAGTTACAGATGCCCTTAATGCTATAAGAGCTGCTATTGAAGAAAACATCATTCTGGGATGGGGTTGTGCCTTGCTTCAGTGCATTCCAGCCTTGGACTCATTAACTCCAACTAATAAAAATAAAAAATTGGTATAGAAATTATTAAAAGAATACTCAACATTCTGGCAGTGACCACTGCTAAGAATGCAGGTGTTGAAGGATCTTTGGTAGCTGAGGCAATTGTGCAGCATTCCTCAGAAGCTGGTTATGGAGCTATGGTTGGGGATTTTGTGAATATGGTGGAAAAGAAATCATTGACCCAACGAAGGATGCGAGAACTGCTTTATTAGATGCTGCTTGGGTGCCTTCTCCATTAATTACAGCAGAAGTTGTAGTCACAGAAATTCCTAAAGAAGAGAAGGACCCTGGAATGGGTGCTGTAGGTGGATGGGAGGTGGCATTTCTGATTCCTAGAATAGAGCTTGACCTTTATTCATGAACTTGTGATAGGAAGCTCAAGGCAGTATTTCTCACCAGTAACTGAAGAAAAGGCTGGGTGATGTTTTAAAAAAGTCACTGTAACCATCAGTTATTGGTTTATGTTTTAAATCACTGTAACCATCAGTTACTGATTTCAACTGACAATAAATAGCAGTTTACTGCTGTCATTGTCCATGCCTGCAAATAATTATTTTGTACTTTTGGATAAAAACACATTTTACATTCCTGATACTGGGTGAAAGAGCCGCGTACCAATGTACTGCTTTCAGCTTAAATCACTGAGACATTTTTACTACTATGCTGTTAAAATCAGGATTTTAGTGCTTGCTAACAACAGATGAGAAGTTAAGAAGCAGCTTTTCTGTGGAGAGTAAGAATAATTGTGTACAAAGTAGAGGAATACCCAATTATGTGACAACCTGTATGTAATACAAATTTGTTTAAAGTTAGAATGAATTGTTAGATACCTTCAGTTATGCAAGAAAGACTGAATTCCACCATATTCACAAAATCCCCAACCATAGCTCCATAACCAACTTCTGAGGAACGCTGCACAATTGCCTCAGCTACCAAAGATCCTTCAACACCTGCATTCTTAGCAGTGGTCACTGCCAGAATGTTGAGTATTCTTTTAATAATTTCTATACCAATTTTTTATTTTTATTAGTTGGAGTTAATGAGTCCAAGGCTGGAATGCACTACTGTTTTCCAATGAAACTCTAAATAGAACTTTAGGTGGGCAATTACTAAAAGGAAGATATAATCTTATTTAATGGTAGAATTGTGTAGCAGCTAACAATAGTCATTTACTTTTAAAAATATTTCCTCAGAAAGATGCACATTACTTTTAACTTTGGTCATCTGCCACGACAGGGAAATGGAAACTTTCCAATGTACCTTCCGACAAGCCACGGCCAGCCCCGTGTGCAGTGTGAGCCTGGGACCCTGAAAGTAGGGCAGCGAGAGTGACCTTGAGATACAGAAAAACAACTGGGAAGAAAGCTAACAAGAGGACACAGACTTTATATCATGCTTTCGTCATTTTAGACCTAAAACTGGCTCTAAGCCCCTCATGTGATCACACCTTCATTTATTTGTTGCCTAAATAAAGATCCAAACTGTCTATCTAGAGACAGCTTTCATAAATTACTCATTATAGGTAGGGCACTCCTAGTCAGGGATAAAGCTCCTGGTGATTACAGAATTCTGTCACTAGCTTCTAGAAGAATAAACTCTCTATTGATGAAGACATTTACTAAAAGTATTTGGTATGCTCTATCCATACCAGAGAAACACAGGAATAGATAATTTTGTACAAATCATCTAAGAAGCTTCTCATTTCAACAGAAAAGACTACATCCATTGTTAAGAAGAGATATGATTAGTAAATTAAAAAGTATTTCCATCTTTCTAAAATTAGCTTTTTAAAAAAGTCTAGTTTATGGAGATTGAATCAGTTTCTGCATTCTGAAAGAAGGAGAATGATGCTGCTGGAGATGGCTGAATATTGTCTTCCAGATGACTTCCTGGGGGGCACTGGGGTCACCCATGATTTAGGGTTGACTGGGAGCAGACTCCGCAAGATGGAGATAAGGTGGGGGCAAACCATTCCGGTGACCATTATAACAACCTAGGGCACTGCTTTTCATAACCGGAAAAAGAATTAGTAATCTGAAGGTTATATGGTGAACATATGAGAGTAGTGTCTAGTGGTGTTTGATCCAGGGCTTGGTGAGTTCTGGTAGATGTCTTCTCTCCTATAACATAGTGTTTGTATTAATCAGACCAAGCATCTCTGATCTTCCTGGATGTTCTAGCTACTGGTTCTATGGCCAGGGCTGACCAATCTCTTAGCATTTGCACAATATTTGATACAAATTAAGTACAGCATACTCGATTAGGTATTTACTTCCTAAGTCCTGAGTATGTGTTAGTCCTTTGCTATATATATTTTTTTTTAACGTACGTCCTCTTGATTGGAGTTTCGGATGTTCCCAAACCCCTCAGTCATCCCCTAAGACTCTGGAATTTTGGGTTATTCTCTAAATGACTAATCTCTGTCTTTGTGTGTGCTTTAGAAGTTTAACTATGAGAAGGAAGCCATAATTCCTGGTCACAGGAGGAAACTTAAAATTTCCACTAATAAAGGATCTATGTTATTATGTTGCTGTGTCTCCTACAGTCCCTAGAACTGTGACTCGCCTTTAATAAATGGCTATTGATAGTAAGATTAATGGTCCTGAACTTGGGAATCCACCACCGAAGCATAAATGCGCTTGAAGAAGACTTTGCATTGTAATAAACTTGTGCAAGGAAAGAGGGTCCATCTCTTTGCCAGGGATGTTCATTTTGCAGCACAGTTTGAGAGCAATCTTTTTCAAGTAAATTGAATATGAATGCCTGTCCCCATCATACATTAATGAATTAGGGATTGTCTCCCATCCCCACCTTTTCTCTTTTGCTGTGTTATAAAATAGTTACCAAATGTGCTTGTAATTTGCATAGAAGGCATTGGCATCAAACATGATGTCAGCGTAACTCAATGAAAAGATTTTCGAAAGGAATATGGAACACGTGAAAATATATGTCATATCAAAAACGAGAGATAAGCAGTGATGTGGTGAACCCTTGCTCCTCCTAATCTTGTGCTTTTCTTCCATGATTCTACCTACTGCAGGCACCTGCTCCCCTTTCACCGTTTATGCAGGGGCTGGGGTCAGGAGGGCTGGCTGGATGATGATGTGCAGCGATTGCTGTGGTGCTCTTTATTGCTTCCCTAACTCTGAAACCAAGTCTTCTTAGGAGTTGGAAGCAGGGAACAGCAGGAATGGTGGAGGCAGGATCTGGCAGCAGCTTCTCTAAAGTCAGCTGTAGGCGAGGCACACCAGCTCCTGAGAACTGGGGTGGGGAGGGGAGCTGTAGACAGCAGCAGCAGTGTCGTTTCCTCAGGATGGGCCCCAATTCCAGCCTTGGCTTGGCGTCCTGACCAGTGTGTCTATGGGCAAGTCACCTGACATTTCTTGTCTTCAAGTTTCGTTTGTGAAGTGAAGAGGGTGATGAACCATACAGATTCTAAAAGGTTATTTTTAGTTGTGTAACTAATAACCATCCTTCTTTGATTCTCCTTGCACTACTTGCAGGGTAGCAGTGAGAAAACTAAGAAGAAATTTTGAGTTAGAAGTTGAGTGAATTCCTGCTCCTTTCATAGTTGCAATATGTGACCACCAGCCCATTGAATGGAATGGAGTGTGTTTGAATTCTCCTCCCTGTGGTCACTGTGGCAGCAGGCTCAGCTTACTAGGGCCATTTTTCTAATGTACCTTTGGAATTCTTCCAAAATGTATAGGGAGAAGTAGAAAAACCAGAGGCGTTCTGAGTGAGGAAAGAAGCAGATGACTCAGCAAATCACCAATCTCCTTCATTTCCTTGAACAGCAGATAGTTGAATTTCATGAAGAAACTTTAATTTTTTTCTGATTATGAAAGTCTTATATGATTGTTTTAACCAAGTGTGCAGAGAATGATCATACTTATAGACAATGTCTGTTTTGTTCATAAGCGAATTAAAAAGGTCGGGAAAGATATATTCCATATTGTGAACAGTGGTCATGTTTAGAAACTGAAATGGGCATGGTGATTAGAAAAATGTTATAAGTGCTTATTGTAGAACAGTCAGATAATATATAAAGGTGCAAAAAGTAAAAAATAAAAATCACCCATAATCCTATGCCTCAGTAACAATCCCAGTTTGATTCTGGCAAAATTCCCTCAAGTCAGTTTTCCTCTGCTTAGAAAAAAACGGCTGGGAAAATAGATACTACTGTCTACCCAATTGTGTGTCTTTTATTTTTGAACTCATGTCTTAAGCATTTTACGCTGGATTAAAATTGCTTGTTAACATGTTTAATATAGGTGTAAATTTTAACTATTTTAACTATAGGTGTAAATTTAGGTATCTCCTTTATTTTCACTATTAGAAATAAGAGCTGCATTGAAGATTTAATGTAAATATCTCACTCTGAAATTGGGATTATGTCATTAGAATAGATTCCTTGTCAAAGAATAGGAACATCTGTAAGACATCATAAATGCTATGAAATTGTATATGTCCAGAATACTAATTTACATTCTAATGTAAATTCTGTACTAATTTACATTCCCATTGGCAGTGTATGAAAGCACTTGTTTTCATACAAACAAATCCTTGTCAGCATGAAGTATGCTTACATCTTAATTTTTCTTGCAAATTTGATACAACTGTGTGTTTTTAATATTCTACTCTAGAATCAAGAAGTTCAGACTGTGCAAATCAAAATCCAAATCTCCTCTGATCCATTGGATCTTTTAGTATTGAGACATTTGTATTACATATATATGATAGCATTGACTCTGGCAGCAACTCTACTAGAGATTATATATGTAAATCTCAAGTCTTGAAACAGTGTTGTATTTTGGTATTGGTATTCACAACCCTACTTGCCACATGATGGTGGAGCAGAGATTTGCACCTTAACTCAAAGACGAGCATGAGAGTGCTTAAAACACCTGGTTAGTGCACCTAGAAAAATTAGATTGATTTCAGAATGGCACAGTCATAACTGCTGCTTTATTTAAAGTCAAATTGCATTCTCTCATGTATCCTATTTTACATTCTTGTCATTATCTGAAAATTTATAAAGGTTGAGTACCCTTAATCTAAAACCCTAAAATCCAAAATATCCTAAAATCCAAGATTTTTTGAGTGCTGATGTATGCTCAAAGAAAATGCTCATTGGAGCATTTTGGATTTTGGATTTTTGGATTAGAGATGCTAAACTATTAAGGAGATTAGAAATGCTAAACTATTAAGAATGTGTGTATATATATATGTACTATTAAACATTCTTAATATATATATACACACACATATATATATATCTACATATATATATATATATTTATCAAATTTTCCAAAATCTAAAATAAAATGGAAGCATTGAAACATCTCTGGTCCCAAGCATTTCACATAAGGGATACTCAACCTATGCCAGGCATGAAGGTTTGCTTTTTAGATCATGTTAATGCCTCTCAGTGTGACAGCCTTTGGGCTCTATGGTTTTGAATTGTAGTTAAATTATTAACAGACAGCTAAATTTTAATGTCACTCTGAAAAATGAATGTCTAATTTTGGGGGCTATAAATAGGAATAGCAATTGGAAGTGTGAAAGTACTTCTAACTTTATCAGTGATGTGTAATTCAAATGTTTTACACCAAACCAAAAAAAAAATTGGAAAGGAAAATATTTTTATGTTTTAAATTTATTTATGTCGAACTTAAGACAGACCCTGAAAGTAAGGATTGGGTAACCAGTCTCAAATCTTAATTATAAACTTTAAGTTACAGTGCAGTCTTCAGATAAATTTACAATTTTTTTTTGCTATACACTTTACTTAAAATATTTATGATGCAAAATACACACTTCAAAAGATTCATAGTTGTGAAATAATTCACACTGGAATGTAACTTTGATATCAATACAAATTTATGTGAAGTAATTGGAATAATAATTTAAAAATTAGATGAGTATCCATTTAAATGTAATGTTTTGGCTGGGCATGGTGACTCATGGCTGTAATCCCAGCACTTTTGGAGGCCAAGGTGGGCAGATCACCTGAGGTCGGGAGTTCAAGACCAGCCTGGCCAACGTGGTGAAACCCCATCTCTACTAAAAATACAAAAATCAGCCGGGCAAGGCAGCACATGCCTATAATCCCAGCTACCCGGAAGGCTGAGACACAAGAATCGCTTGAACCCGGGAAGCAGAGGAAGCTGTGAGCTAAGGTCACACCACTGTACTCTAGCCAGAAGACAGTGAGACTCTGTCTCAAAAAGTAAAATTTTTTAAAAATGTAATTTATTTTATAATTATATTTTGTAATTATTTCACACAATAATAATCTGAAGTCACACGTATTAAGTTTTTGGCTTCTTTACTCTAGTTTTGAGCATGAATATTAATCTCATGAGAGGTTTAAGGAAAACTAAGTAAGAATGGAATCTATGGAACAATTTACACCAGAACTGATATACTGAGGGACCTTGAGGTGGTAGTAGTGCCACGGGTCAGAAAGACCTGGTTAAGATCTTTGCTTGGATGCATACTTACTATGTAGGTTTGACTGTGTTACTTTACGTTTCTGCCTTTTTTTTTTTTTGCCTATAAAATAGGGATACTAATTTCTACCTTGTGGCGTGGTCATGGGGGTTGAGATAGTGCATACAAAGGACAAGCAGAGGCTTCACCTGCAGACTCCACTCCCCTTCACCTGCAATGGCAGCTAGTTTAGTACTGGTGGATCGCTGTACTTTTTCCTGCTGAACCCACGTTCCGCAGCCAGTCTTTCTTTTAAAGTTTCCCAGGCCTTCACCAAAAACTGGCTGAAATTAGCCTACGATAGAAAATGGGATACCATCCCTCTAATAGGTGATCATCAAATATATATATTTTCTTTACCACTCCCAACTTATTGTTTTGGCGTGTGAAAAAAAAAAAAAAAAAACAGTTACTATAGCAGTTCTAAAGTCAGTATTGGTAAATATTTAGAGAGGTACGGATGTCCTTTTGACATGAGTCTGTGTCACATGAAGAGTTTTTTAGAAAATTACATTCCTTCCCCATTTACTCAGCTAGTATATATTCTGAATCTCCCTTGAGCTAGATAGGTATCCTTTTTTAGCAATGAAACCAAAAACAGTTCTAAAAATTTCACTTTTGAAACCTGGAAAGTAGTATGAAGAAAGTGTGACAAATGTAGTATTTTATTTTAGTAAACAGTGGAAACAAAGATTTTTTATAATCTCTGTAAAGTGACTAGAAAACTTGAGCTTTTCATTTTTATTTCACTCTTGTAGTTCTTTTCCTTAGAAAAAATTCTTAAAATTGTAACATCAAATGAATACTACAAAGAGAAGATAGTTTGGCCTTGACAGGTTAAAGGAACATGATTATCTTTTAACTAGAAAATGCTGTCTTCCATTTCCTTAAGTAATTTCTGTACCTGTATCCTATTGCCAGTTAGTACGTAAACCGCATTATGTTCCTTCAGCATATTTTTATATACAGTGTTGAAAGATCTAACCATACTAAGGTATTGTATTACAGTTTCACAACAGAACAATTTATAACATCAAAACAGTAGTTTAAAGGTGAAAAACTGAAGTTGATGTTTTCTTAACAGGAAGTGTAATCGTTTTCCAAACTAAATTCCAATATTGAAATAGGCTTAAAAATGCTTTAAGGTACAGTTGTCGGCCAGGTGCAGGGGCTCACGCAGGTAATGCCAGCACTTTGAGAGGCTGAAGTGGGCGCATCACTTGAAGCCAGGAGTTCAAGACCAGCCTGGCCACCACAGCAAAACCCTGTCTCTAGTGAAAATACAAAAAAATTTAGCCAGGCATAGTAACGCAGGCCTGTAATCTCAGCTACTCGGGAGGCTGAGGCATGAGAATCATTTGACCAGGGAGGTGGAGGTTGTGGTGAGAGATTGTGCTAGTGTACTCTAGCCTGGACAACAAAGCAAGACTCTGTCTCAAAAAAAAAACAAAGAAAAAAGAAAAGGTACAGTCGTTCCTTAATGTCCATGGGGGATTGGTTGCAAGGACCTCCTGCAGACACCCAGATCTGCTATGCTCAAGTTCATGATATTAAATGGCTTAGTATTTACATGTAACCTATGCATATCCTCTTGCATACCTAAAATCGTCTCTAGATTACTTATAATATCTAACACAATGTAAATGTTATATAAATAGTTGTTATACTGTATTGTTTAGGGAATAATGACAATTTTTTTTAAATTTTGGGTATGTTCAATACAGTTGCAGGGTTTTTTTCTGAATATTTTCCACTCTCGGTTGGTTCAGTCTGTGGATGTGGAACTCATGGATTCGGAGAGCTAACTGTACTGAGTGTTTTGTTGCTGGGTTTTGCAACTCTGTTATAACCCCATTATCAACAGAAAATTTCTGTTAAAATTTCAAGGTTACTTATCAAATTCTACCCCCATCAACTATCTACTTGGTATTTTTTGGTAGATCTTAAATCCCTGTGCTTACCCCAAGTTATAGATCATCCAGTTTATTGAAGTCATGCTTCTAATTATTAAAAAAATAGTGCCCTATTTATCTTTAACATTTTAAAACCTTACAATTACAACTCAAATGGCATTACCTGTTTGTCTTCTTTATTAATTGCTGCACACAGATATAGCCAGCATGCTATTTTAATTATGGAAACTGGTCCTTCCTGGTGGAGGGACACTGTCACAGTGAGGCAAGGAGGGGTGTGCCTGCCGGGAGGTGAGTGTTGACTGGGTGGGAGGGCTTCACAAGTTACTTCCCTGCTCCTCGGGTAGTTGTAGCTGTGCAAATCGCAGTGCCAAGCAGTAGACGCAAAGCTGGCAGTGCCAGGTGTTGCTTGTAGATCCTGAGTGATTATTGGCTTTGGAAAAAGCCACTGGGCTTAGATGTAACTCTTTTTCTTCTTTCCTGAGTCAGGAAATGGTTTGCTTGGATTTAAAAGGGATGAAGAACCCAATAATTGTAAATGCTTTAGAGAAGACTATATAACCCTGATAAGTACTAGATTTTAGAGATATGTAGGTAAACTCTTGGGCAGGGCTGAGTCGTTTGGTTTGGTTGGAGAGTTACTTTCTGGAATGCGACAGCTTTGTCACCCACACTGGCTGTGGTGTCTTCCACGAAAGTAAAAACTGCTCCAAAGCAGAGGTAGCTTTGTCTTCCTCCTCTTTGTATCTTCAATTCCAAATGCAGTGATTGGCACATGCTGATGCTCAGTAATAATCTGTTGAAGTGATCCAGGCTGAACTGAAGACTGGCAGTGTGTATTCGTGGTTTCCTAAGGTGGTGTAAGTGGAGAGCCCTGGCCACCTGTGGCCCTATCCAGCGCTGCCTTTGTGTGGTGCAGCAGTAGCTAGAAAGCCTAGCAAGCTTTTCCTAAAGAGTCAGTTCAGTTCAGTGTGTTCAGTGAGCAGTATGGGCTGAGAGGGCCCTCAAAATTCAATGTAGCGCTGGCTCTCCCAGCAGCAGGCATTGTTCGTGTGAGACAGAATGGTTGCCTGGGGAAGTAGTGTGCTCGGGAGACTGCAGGGATTAAGGTCACCCTCTTCCAGATTTTCATTAAGTCTGAAATGCTGTCATTGGCTCCACGAGAGATCCTCTTGCTGTTCCTACTGTGGTGTGTGGACTGCTTATGGTTTACTTCTTACAGTTTCCCATTTCAGATAAGGGGAAGCGTGGCCAAGATGGTTCTGTGAGTCAGGCCCAGAAGGGTAGTAGGGTTGTTTTCTTGGGAAGCACATGGGCACGGGTGGTATTATTAATATTTCAAGCCAATTAGAAAGGATTGATGTTTCATTATAAAAATATGAAGCAAAATATTTCATTTCAGTGTTTCTATTTCTGGAAATACAAACCAAGTGACAAATAGTTGTCTGACTTGCAAATTGTTGGTTTCAAGGTCAACATCTGAACTTTCTTTATTGCTCCCTTTAAAATTAAGAAGTTTCTGGATTAATGGTACTTATCACTCCCAAATTTAGATTCTGCATATCAGCCTAGCTGTCCCTAATGTAGTAGTCTAATTAGAAGGAAAATTGCTGGAATAACCCTGCGGGCTTATCTCACTTATTTCTTGTTTCCCTTTTGAACCTTTCAGGTACGACAGTGCCAGCCCACAGGGCCATCCTGGTGGCCCGTTGTGAAGTGATGGCAGCCATGTTTAATGGTAATTACATGGAAGCAAAGAGTGTCCTGATTCCCGTTTATGGTGTTTCCAAAGAGACTTTCTTGTCATTTTTAGAATACCTGTACACAGACTCCTGCTGCCCAGGTTAGCAATATAAATGTTGGTAGTATCTTATAATTCTTTCTTTCCTTGCCACTCATTTTGTTAAATTGCATTCTGTGAAATCTATTTTCATTTAAGATTTATTAGTTGACATCATGGAATGTACTAAGCAGTTAGAGGTGGTGCTGGAACAACAACGAATTTTCATTCAGTTCAAGTGGAGGTTCAGTGATTGGGTGCCTTTTATGGATCTCCAGTGCCGGCCCAAGTTCACATGTCCCAGCCAGCACCTACAGCATGGGGATCACTGTAGGCACCCGGAAATGAAGGTGTCTTGTGGTACCCATGGCTACTGTAATTCTAGAGATTGGGGCAGGTTGTTACTTGAAGCACTGTCTCGTCCACAAGAAGAGGAGGGTTGTGCAACTGCTTTGATGGCTGTGACTTCTGATTGGGTCACTTTTAAGGACTTTCAATATTCTGAGACTGTTTTGGTCTTCTTTCTGGCCCAGAGGATGTGGGATTTGTAAAGGCCTCCTTCTGACTTCTGCTAAAGTCAGAAACTCCTCAGACTGACTTCTCTGAAAACTTGTCTTGAGATGTTTAGAATGCCCAGTGGACTATAGGATTCATTTCCAAATTCACTGACCAAGGACTGTCTTTGACCAGGAACCAAACATCTGTGGCAGCTCTAGGTTGGAACAGATCCAGCAGGGTTCTTCTAGCTGGAGGCGCTTGAAGAAATAGCAAAATTTTTTCTACAGGCCTGGAGCCTTGCTTGGGATGCTGGCAGGGAAGCCCTCTGTGAGTAGTCTTCAGCCTTTGGCCACCAGGGGGCTCCCATCACAAGCACAACTAGATTCGGCCCCGTGGAGCTCAGTTCTGGAGCCTGAGACCTTGATTAGAAAATCTGGTCAAGCACCCTAATAAAAATAAAAAGCACACGCACATTTAGGCCAGACCTCTCTTCAGATTCACTGCTTTAATTTTTAGAATGGAAAGGTTTCTTACATTAGGTATTGAAATAAGTTTTAAACAAGTCATGAGCCCTCTAGTGAAAGATTTTAGTTCAAAAAGAAGCAAATTTATTTGTTTTGATTAAATTAATTCTGGTCTTGCAGCTTGCTGTAGAGTATTTTGGAGCCAGTTGCAGTTGTTTCTGTCAGTGTTAAAGACTGACTTATCGCCAGGTGCGGTGGCTCATGCCTGTAATCCCAGCACTTTGGAAGGCTGAGACGAGCGGATCACCTGAAGTCAGGAGTTCAAGAACAGCCTGACTAACATGGTGAAACCCCGTCTCTACTAAAAATACAAAAATTAGCTGGGTGTCGCGACATGCGCCTGTAATCCCAGCTACGCGGGAGGCAGAGGCAGGAGAATCGCCTGAACCTGCGAGGCGGTGGTTGCAGTGAGCCAAGATGGTGCCACCACACTCCAGCCTGGGTGACACAGTGAGACTCCGTCTCAAAAAAAGACTGACTTATTATTTTTGCCTAATAAAAGTGAAAGCATTGGTTCTTTTTGGAAATAAAACTTATTGTTTATTATTTCATTGTTGGCAAATTTGTATATTAAATTTTAAAATTGACCAGATTTGAAATAATAGGAATATCTGATTTTCAGTCATCCTCTCACTCAAGTAATTGAAACTGCTAATATTAAGTTTTACCTTTTGCTAATTAGAAAAAAATACAGAGGAAAGCAGTAATAATGATAGGATTTGTTTTAAATTGGCAAAAATGTGTTAGGGAAAAATGAGTCACAATGAATAATCGAAAAGTTAAAGCCAGATACTGGAATCTATGCATTGGGAAGATCACAGAAGACAGGTAATGTTATTATGTTAAATATTCACCATACACAGTGTTCCTGGTTCCATAGCTACAAAAGAATGTAAGAAATGTAAGAATGTAAGGTGGGATAAGAACGAGAATTACATGAAAAACCAGATTTCTAGGGAAGTATTGAATTGGGTGGTTGCCAGGGGCTGGGGAAAGGGGAAAACAGGGAGTTAGTGTTTAATGGGTACAGAGTTTCAGTTTGGGAAGAAGAAACATGTTCTGGAGATAGTGGTGGTGATGACTGCACAGCAGTGTGAATATGCTTCATGCCAATGAATCATATACTTAAAAATGGTTAAAATGGGCCGGGTGTGGTGGCTCATGCCTGCAATCCTAGCACTTTGGGAGGCCGAGGCGGGTGGATCACAAGGTCAGGAGATCGAGACCATCCTGGCTAACACGGTGAAACCCTGTCTTTACTAAGAATACAAAAAAATTAGCTGGGCATGGTGGCGGGCGCCTGTAGTTCCAGCTACCCGGGAGGCTGAGGCAGGAGAGTGGTGTGAACCTGGGAGGCGGAGCTTGCAGTGAGCCAAGATCGCGCCACTGCACTCCAGCCTGGGCAACAGAGCAAGACTCCGTCTCAAAAAAAAAAAAAAAAAGGCTAAAATGGTAAATTTCATGTTATGTTTATTTTATCACAATAAAAGCAAAACAACAAACCAACCAACCACCCTGAAGACTAAAGTCAAGAAAAAAAAATGGCAAAGATCTAGTCCTGGAATTAATTTTTAAGGGCAATTATAGAGTCACCTTTTCTGAAGAATTAAAAAACAAAAAAGAAGAAGAATAGGTTCCCTTCTGAGTATGATGGCTTAAAAATGGATTCTTTTTATTATTTTATTTTATTTTTATTTTTATTTTTATTTTCTTGAGATGGAGTATCGCTCTGTTACCCAGGCTGCAGTGCAGTGGCACAATGTCTGCTCACTGCGACCTTCGCCTCCCAGGTTCTAGTGATTCTCCTGCCTCAGCCTCCCTAGTAGCTGGGACTACAGGAACCCGCCACCACACCTGGCTAATTTTTTTGTATTTTTAGTAGAGACAGGGTTTCACCATGTTGGCCAGAATGGTCTTGATCTCGACCTCATGATCTGCCCACCTCGGCCTCCCAAAGTGCTGGGATTACAGGCGTGAACCACTGAGCCTGGCCTTCTTTTTAAAATGGAATAGTAGGCTGGGTGTGATGGCTCACATATGTAATCCCAGCACTTTGGGAGGCCAAGGTGGGAGGATCATTTGAGCTCAGGAGTTCAAGACCAACCTGGGCAACATAGTGAGACCTGTCTCTACAAAAAAAAAAAAGAAAAAAAGATAAAATGGAGTAAACGTGCAGAATGCTGGCTCCCTTGAGGCTTTTTCTAAGTATTCTATTCTATGGCGGATGATACGGCCAGCATGTTTTTTTAATTGTTGTTTTTGTGTGTGTGTGTGTGTGTGTGTGTGTGTGTAGGTCATTAAAGAAACGGTTTTATCATCCATTTTCTCTCATGTCCCTTTTCTCATCAGCTGGCATATTCCAGGCCATGTGTCTCCTGATCTGTGCCGAGATGTACCAAGTGTCCAGACTGCAGCACATCTGTGAGCTGTTCATCATTACCCAGCTGCAGAGCATGCCAAGCAGGGAACTGGCATCCATGAACCTTGATATAGTTGACCTGCTCAAAAAGGCCAAGGTAATTGACTCTGTGTATCTGACAGCCTAATTTTTTATAAAATAGTTTTTAAATTATACTATTTTAAAATTTCTCCTTTTTAATCATACATTAATACTAGTCTTAGTTTGGAAGTTTGGCGAATGAGGCTAAAGTGCCTTCACAACAGTTTATCTGGCTAGATAATTTTGAAGCATTAGGGTTTGTGCGCAGTCCCTTTATAAGGAGGCAAAATGTCCAGACATGGAATTTTTTTAACTAAATAGTGGCCCGTAGCAAAGTCATTTGAATGTGGTGCTATACTGTGTCACATAGGCATTGTAGGAAATAGAATTTACATTTAATTTCCCCAAACAATCACATCTTCAGGTTCCTAAAAGGAAAATGACAGAATTGGCCCATATATACTGATAGCGATGGTTAAGTTAAACTCATTTACTTCTTCATTTTTTCATCATATAATGAACATGTTTTGAAGTTTCAGTTGTATGTAGGAGATACTGGTGTGCCTCATTTATCCTTGCAGAATGCCTTTTGTTTTCATGTCTCACTGTATTAGCAATCACTGCTGTATATATACATGCTGCTTCTGGGCCTCTTGTAAGCTCAGAGTCTTTTGTTTTCAATAATTGTGTCATTACTGATTTTAGAGAACGGGGGTCGGGGGGTTACATAATTAAGTTAATTTTAAGTAACTGCAGTTACAGAGACCCTAAATTATGAATTGGAGCCAGGTCTGTAAATAAACTAGGGCTACTGTGTTGAAATCTACTTCCCAAAGCCCCAGATGTGCTCACAGTCAAAAACCTGCCAAATCCTCATTCGCACTTTCTTTCATTCCTGGAAGCAGAAAGCTTATTCAGATGGGCCATCCTACCGTTGGCCATTCTGCCATTCCATCCACTGCCCCAGACAGTTTCAGGACTTGTGGTGGTTATGGCATACTCTTGTGTACTCAACTTGTGGTAAGCTGAGCCCTCTAGGTTTTTTCCACAGGAATATATTTGTTCAGTCACTACAGAGTGTCAGTAATTCTTGAAATATTATCTGGCATCCAACATATCTATACCTATCAACTTTGACATCCAGGGTTACAAAAGCATGACAGCTTTTGTCTCCATCTACATTGCTAAAATGGAGCCACATGATGGGGCAAATTCCGGATCTGTGACAGCTGAATGCTTGCCTCCAAGCTGAGATGAATTCATTCATCAACACTTCTGTTTATAGAAGGGAATTTATTTAAAGCATTTAGGTCTTCTCCTACTATCTCCTTAACTATTTTGGACTTCATTTCTCTCATAATCAAGTCTTATGATCACTTGTATTTAATATTAGGGCTAAAAACAAATTTAAAAATTGAGTAACACTGATCTCTCTTTGTAATATATTTACATTCATCTCATGATAAATAAATAGCTCCCCTCCAAATTTAGTTTACAAGTTTTTAAATTCTTTCTACTAGTTTCACAATCTCAGTTCATTTTTGATGTATCATTTTCATACTATTCTAACAAGTTGTTCATACTTTTTAAAAAATTGGACACAAGTTTCTTTTTCCTTATCTTTTAGTATCCTCTTAAATCATTTATGTATAAGAGAACTTCCCGTGTGGTCCCATTGATTTCTTGAGGTGCCTCTCCTCTCTGCCCCCCTACATTTGGTTCCTCATCAGAATCATTTTTGATTGCACTGTCAGAAATTCTTCAGTTGTTTTCCCTGATTCTGTGGTTTCTGACTCTGTGATTATCTTTATCTTTTCCCCTTGACTTTAAAACAATCTAAGATACCAGCTCATTTTGAATTTGGTTTCTGAAGACTTTTTATTTTCTAAGATTACGCCTAAATTTACCAGTTTTCCTTTATTCTTTTCCCAGTGGTTCCTAATTTGGTAGTTGTGAATTCCAGATAACAGAAGTTTTCTTCCCAAGTTTTCTTTGAAGTTCCTAGTTTGAGGTTTCACTTCAGCAGCCAGTTCACCCTGTTGGTCAGAATTTGGTTAACTTTTCTCTTGCCATTTCTATGACTTTTAGGAGTGAAATTGTCTTTTAGCAGAATTAGACTCCCAGTAGCTCTCCAAATAATCAAAATTTCTGATCACTCTGCCAGTTCTGTACTGTGTGTCAGGAAACATCTTTCATACTTTCTTAGATAGATGAGCAGTGTGGGTATTCTCTCACTTCTCTGTCCGTTTTCCCCTAACCTCTCTCAGATCTCTACCATGATTTACCTTCAGGTTTCCATCAAGGAGGACTCTTAAAATTCAAGAGTTGAGATGCAGATTCCTTATGTCTACTCCTGTTTAAACCCTATCTGTTTAAACTTTGGTGATTCCTATGAAGTTGTATTTATTCTCGTATTAAAAATTTTAATGCATTTTCTTATTTATAATCTATATATTAATATTTGACTACCTGAAGCTACAAGTTGTATTTCTGAGAGTTTCTGGGTACTTTCTTTTGAGTTTATGGGTGTTTTCTCCACATTCTCCTTGTAGCTGTTACGTTCTATTGCTTTTGGCTTATGGCTTTTTAATGCCTTTTTAACAATTCTGTTGCTTATTTCAGTTTGAACCCATTTTCTTACATCAACACATATCCTTCTAAAACCTAGTTTTTACAGTGAGACATATTCCATTCCTGTTACAGAGGCCCTAGATTATGAATCTGGGCCAGGTCTGTACATTAGCTAGGACTGCTGTGTTGAAATCTACTTCCCAAACCTCTACATGTGCTACCAATTCCTCATTCCTCAATTCTTTCATTCCTGGAAGCAGAAAGCTTCTTCAGTTGTGTCATCCATCCTACTGTATTTAAGATATTTTTGGATAATATAATAAGATTTAAGATACTATAATTGTGGACTCTTTGCAAAAGAGTTACAAAAGCATGACAACTTTTATCTTCCATCCACATTGCTAAAATGGAGCCACATGATGGGGCAGATTCCAGATCTGTGACAGCTGAATACTTGCCTCCAAGCTGAGACGAATTCATTCATCAACACTTCTGTTTGTAGAAGAGACTGTATCTAAAGCCTCTAGGTCTTCTCCTACTATCTCCTTAACCATTTTGGACTTCATTTCTCTCATAATCAAGTCTTACGATCACCTGCATTTAATATTAGGGATAAAAACAAATTTAAAAATTGAGTGTGGACTGTTTGCAAAAGAGTCCACAATTGTAATATCTTAAAAGTACCTTAAATCTTGTTCAAAAAGAAAATTCTTCATTTTTAAGCATGCTTTTGTGGCCAGCTGTTTATTTCTGTGACCTCCCTTGTCCTTCTCAATCACAGCCCTTAAGGCAATGTCCTAACTTCCTGGTGTTTTGTTATCTGCTCTGGGTTAATCATCTAATAGTAGTGGTGGCTTTAAAAAGCTGAAGGGTCTTACTCTGTTCCCTTGAGATTGCACACATTCATCTGCTAAAAGATAAGGGGAGAAAAAACTGTTAAAATGTTATGTGGGATTAGATAAACTATAAAGTTATTTCCAGTTCAAAAATTCTGATTTTATGTAATGAAAATAACAGGGACCTGTGAATATATGTGTTTAAGTACTCTCACACTATACAGCTTTAAAAAAAAAAAAAAAGCAAATCCTTGAGTTTTTTTCATTATGGTATGAGATTACTAATCACTCTTCAATTTAGCATTACTTGTTGCTTACTTAATATTTTTGCATCTCCTTAGAAGAGCTATATTTAGCCAAAAGGTAGAGGCAACCTGAACGTCCATTGACAGGTGAAGAGATAAACAAAATGTGGTATATATGTACAATGGGATATTATTCAGCCTTAAGAAGGAATGAAATTTTGATATCCGCTACAACATGGATGAAAAATATTACCATAAATGAGCCAATCATAAAAGGACAAATATTTTACAATTTCCCTTATATGAGGTACCTAGAATAGTGAAATTCACAGAGACAGAAAGTAAAGCAGTGGGTGCTAGGACCTGGTAGGGATAGGGAGAAAACTATTTAATGGTACAGAGTTTCATTTTGGGGTGATAGAAAAGGTCTGGAAATGGATAGTGGTGTTGGGTTGCCCCACCATGTGTATGTACTTATTAATGACACTTAACTGTACACTTAAGAATTGTTAAAATGGTACATTTTGTGTAATACATATTGTACCACAATAATAATAAAAAAAGAGTTCTATACTCATGTACCCAAGTCGCCTGCCAGCAAGTTACTGTCATCTGTGTTGGTGGTTGGATGGATCAGTGAGTGTCAGTGCATGGACACCAAGGTGATGATGTCGGTGGCCTGCTTGCTTGGAGTTTTCCCTCCATTAGCAGCTGTTGGAACTCCGAATGAGGAGAATGGAGCTGGAAATCCTGCTCAGTTTACTGTACATCTCATTAGAAGCAAATATTTCGACACAGCTTTCTCTTAGAAACATTTACACATTGAAACCCAGGCCTTCGACCGATGGTGTTTCCTCCTCAAAATATGTTTTGACTTGCTCCTCAGGTGAACTTGTTTCAACATTGCTCACCATCATCTGCTACACAGATACAGGTGCAGTTAGTGACGTCCGTGGCTTTAGATTAAAAGCTTAAATTAAATCGTCAAGAACCTCAAACAGATGCAGCCATGCATTGCTTAAAGATGTTTGGCCACTCCGGCAGCCATAGATTGTTGTTCGCTGTTGGTTTGGCTTCTTCCAAGAATGTACTTTTAACATTATCTGTTAATAGTGCTCCCTCATCCTGTCTGCTGTCACAGTAGACTGAAAGCTGCATCAGGTAAAGGCACATGAAACATGAATATGAGCTCTCCGTGATTGCTCCCAGGCCGTTCTCTTGATCTGATCATCACACTGGTGGCCATTATGTGCAGTGTTGTTTCACTTTTCATTTTTCTTGCAGTTTCACCACTCTGATTGCCTTTCAACCTGGCTACTTCATTTCATTGCTACTAACTACCTCATCTTCAGTCAGAAGCCTGAATTTCAGGATCTTTCAGGTAGATTGCCAATTTCTATTTTGAAAAGAAAACTTTATGTTCTTTGTTCTTAGATTTGAGACATAAGTTGTAGAAGTAGTGCTTTTAGCAAAATAAGAATAGTCAATGTAATAAATTTCTTACAAATTATGCAGTGTGGTAATTATGGAAACAATTTATAGTCACCTGTGTTACATAAGCGGCTTAACCTGTGTTACACAAGAAGTTTTCTAATGATTATTTTATAGCTCCCATCCATTTTTAAACACATTTTCTTTCCCTGAAATAGATAAGGTGACAAAATGTGTCCTCAGGTGGCATTTGCTTGTGAAAAATGATACCTTAGTTGTAACTACCTAAGTTAGTAGCAAAGTTTAGACAGTACAGATTTAAAAATTTAACTCTTGTTAACTATATGATATATAGCTTTATTGTACTGGATATCTGTATTTACTGAGTATATCTATATGGGAGTCCATTATATTTGCAATAATGGTTTTTCATATATAAAAGAATGTTGTGAAACTTACTGAGAGTACATGTAATATGCTTTCTAAGGTAAATTATAAAGATTAAAACCAAAGTGTGAACTCCTGAGTACTGCATAAAAAGAAAAAAATGAAAATATAATAGTTGACAGAATAGACAGTTTAGATGCAATGGTTTGCTCATGTTATTTTCTAGCATAGACTCAAGGAAAATTTGAGCTAAAAAGAAAAGGAAGTGAAAGATTACCTTTTCGAGGAGTTTCACACTCTGGACAAACAAATCTCCGTGGAGATAACTGAAGTGACTTCTAGGGTGGGGGGCAGAAGGTAGGGAGTGGGTGAGGAGAAGAGAGAGAGGGAGTAAGGGAAAGGGAAAGAGAACGCTAAAATGTAAGCTCTTGGACTCTTCCCTTCCTTCTTCAGTCAGAGTACTTCCACTTTATCTGTTTCATATCTTGAGTTCTACCTAAAATTATACATCCTAAAAAAGACTTTGCTGGTAAAAGATATAAAAATCATACGGTCAAGATGGTGATTCTACCTCAGTGTAATCCCAGCCAACTTGGGAGGCTGAGGCTGAAGGATCACTTGAACCCAGGGGTTTGAGTCCAGCCTGAGCAACATAACGAGACCCCTGTCTCTAAAAGAAAAAAAAAGTAAAAATCTCTTGTTTGTATTCAGCTACTTGTTGTACAGTTAAAGGAAACCCAGGAACACACAATCAGTTTTTAGGAGATGTATTCAGCCAGTCAGCAAACATTATATGTCTATTGGGAGCCTCCTTACATAAGTCAACTATTAGTACAGTAGAGAAGCATAATCACATCAAAACAAAACAACAGGTATTAATTAGCTAGATACTTTGTGCAAGGAAAAAACAAAGTCGGTTCATAAAAAGATAAGGCTTGTGTATGCTTGCTGTCAGTAGGAACATTCTTCTACAGTTATTCTTTTTTTTTTTTTTTTTTTGAGACAGAGTCTTGCTCTGTTGTCCAGGCTGGAGTGCACTGGTGCCATCTCGGCTCACTGCAAGCTCCGCCTCCCTGGCTCACGCCATTCTCCTGCCTCAGCCTCCCGAGTAGCTGGGACTACAGGCGCCCGCCACCACGCACAGCTAATTTTTTTTTGTATTTTTCGTACAGACGGGGTTTCACCATGTTAGCCAGGATGGTCTCGATCTCCTGACCTTGTGATCTGCCCACCTCGGCCTCCCAAAGTGCTGGGATTACAGGTGTGAGCCACCACGCCCCGTCCAGTTATTCTTTAAGTAGCTGCTTCTATAGTTATTTAAGAAGCTAGCTAAAAGTTAAATGAATTGCACTTTGGTCCTGGATCCACTTTCATCATGCTACCTTAGGTCACTCTTATTTGTAAAAGAAGAATAAGATTATTTTCTACTTACTATCTTGTATAGATATGTGGTATATATGGAGTACCATTACAACCTTGGGAGAAAGATGCTCTATAAATCCTTTTAGTTATGAATTTTCATTATATGGTATTCCTCAATTGCCTATAAAGTATGTTAGGACATCTGGCATGGTACAAAGCAGCGCTTCCAGTGCGATGTGAGGTGGCAGGCTAAGGAGGACAGGCTGTGTCGATGTTGCCTTCTGTTCCTTTGATGGGAATTAAAAGGGAATCATGAGAACTCTCATTCTGCAGTGCCTCTTCCTGTCCAGGGACCTGCTATGAGGTGTTATCCTCTTGGGCAGAGGAAAAAAGCACCTTTTGGATAAGGGAGAATTTAATTGTCTAAATCAGTAGTTACTCACTGGCTGTCTATGGTTTAGGTGTAGCCTGCCAATGTGTTTTATTTGGACCCCACAGTTAAAAATATATAGTGCTAGTATTTAAAAATACCATATTTATGACTTCTTTTGAAAAATTGGAAGATCTGGCTACCCCAGGCCCATCTTCCTAGTGGCAACATGTGGCTTGGCACTGGCGGCCCACCTAAAGGAGTATGCCCTCTCCAGAGGGTCACAGTCACTTCTCTCCAGTGCTTTACACTTGGCCTGCTGCACACGGTGACTTGAAGTTGGGAATGGTTCTTGTCACAGTCACTCTACAGCTTCCTTATAGAACTGCCCATCTTCAGTTTCAAAAGTTCTCAAATTATTATTGGAATTCTACAACTTGTTTTCTGTTGACTGAGAATTTTTCATTTTTAGACGTGTTTAGAAATCAAAAAGTGAGACTGGAAAAGATGTCATGTCAGTACAGGCACAGATACATCAGAACCCAGTTAAAACGTCATTAAATATTAGGTTTCTATATACTGGACTCATGAACACAAACAGCAGTGCACAGGAATATGTTACCCTTGGCATTTATGGATTCATTATTCTCACAGTTTAATTTAGCTCAATATTATGTGTTCTGTGTTATGGGATTGTTTGTTTTGTTTTGTTTTGCTGGCTGCCAGAGCTCATCTGTAATAACTTTTCTCTGGTTTTTGATATTTACTGAGGGAGTAGCCTCATATTACCTTTGCTTCCTGTTGAAACTTAGAGCTGAGCAGCTAGTTTGTATGATCCTGCAGCCTGAATCAAGACCTTATTAATCTGAATTATAATAGATGAGGTTAAACAGTAGATGGAGAATCAAGCAATTCTCCTGCCTCATCCTCCTCAGTAGCTGGGATTATAGGCGTGCGCCACCACACCCAGCTAATTTTTTTTTTTTTTTGGTAGAGACGGGGTTTTACCATGTTGGCCAGGCTGGTCTCGAACTCCTGACCTCAAATAATCCGCCCACCTCGGCCTCCCAAAGTGGTGGGATTACAGACATGAGCCATCGTGCCTGATCTCCAGCAAGGTCTTTATGATCTGTATCTTGTGTCGATCTCTTATCTCATTCTGTAACCTAGAATGCCTAACTGTCTGGGAATGCAGCCCAGTAGGTTTCAGCCTCATTGTCCCCAGCCCCTATTCAAGATGCAGTTGCTGTGGTTCAAATGCCTCTGACAGTTGTGCTTCACCAAAACTAGAGAATGAACAAAGCGAAGCACCTGGAGTTCAAGAATGGGGGGATCCAATCCCAAGGCAGGAAGCAGGTCCAGAAAGCAGGCAGGGCAACAGCAACAGGAAAGAACAGCTTATCTGATGACTGGCTGGGTGGGAAGCACAACTGAGAGGACTTGAAGGATTTTGGAAGACTAAGTTAGCTACAAAGAAAACTAAGTATTATAAATTGAAAAAAAAAAAATCTGTCATGTCCAGGAAAAACAAACATTTTATTGAAAAAGAAAAGCCAGGCATATGGTGGCTCACGCCTGTAATCCGAGCACTTTGGGAGGCTGAGGCGGGCGGACCACGAGGTCAGGAGATCTACCATCCTGGCTAACAAGGTGAAACCCCATCTCTACTAAAAATACAAAAAATTAGCTGGGTGTGGTGACACACACCTGTAGTCCCAGCTACTCGGGAGGCTGAGGTGGGATAATTGCTTGAAACATAGAGGCAGAGGTTGCAGTGAGCTGAGATTATGCCATTGCACTCCAGCCTGGGTGACAGAGGGAGACTCCATCTCAAAAAAAAAAAGAAAAAGAAAAGGAAAATAATCAAATACTACTCAAAGTAGTGGACAAAATGTATATAATTGTAAGTCACATCATAACTTAAATCCTGATACTAATTTAACCAAAATGGTAGTAAATTGTTTGGGAAAGCTTGCGAGAATGGTAGGAGGTGTATCACAGAGCTTGAATCTCATCTATTAAAGAGGAAATCAATAGCTGGTATCTTAATTGATCCACAATAAAACATTCAATTAACATTCTTTTTCTTAACACTTCAGTGGAGGAACGCAGTTTTGTTGAAAAGCACAGATGGCCGTCGAATATGTACTTGAAGCAGCTTGCGGAATACAGGAAGTATATTCACTCCCGGAAATGTCGTTGCTTAGTAATGTAACCTGGAGCTTTTATATACTGCATTTCTTTTTTATTATTATGAAGAATGGGATACTTCCAGGTTCCAGTAAAACTCTTCCGACTGAAACCAATGTGGGTGTTAGAAAAATTACCATATAGCTTAATATGTTCATCAGTTCTCTTTGGGAAAAAACTACCATTGTGGTCTTAAAAAGGGAACAAAATATACCATAGGCTAAAACTAAGGCTTTCACTCTAGAATGCAAAGCTGTTTTGCAGCTATGTTTTCCCTTAAAGATGTCCTGTTGCTTTAGTGATATTTAGACCCCTCTCAGTTAAGAAGTGCTTAAATTTAAAAAAAAAATTATATAGGATTAATACAGAAATTTTATCATGTCTGATTAATTGCTCTATTAAAATAAGGGGCATTTAAAGACCCAGCATAACTATTTGTATGATGAGAAATCTGGGGGAAAACCAATCAGTCCAACATGAGATTTTAGGAGTAGTAATTTACCTGCCCCTTGGAAAGTGAAATGCCACTTGGTTCCCAATTGGTGACAGTGTTTGAATCATCATAAAAAAACTTCTGCTTTTCACCTGGACAACCCAACTGAGCCACTTTGTCTCCTTTTGGCAATCTGAGTAGGCAGGGAACCTAGGCAGGGCTGGCTTTCTTAGCATGTAACTTGTGTAGCAGCACAGGGCCCACACTTAGAAGGACCCCGCACTTGGTTCAAGGCTCTGCTATAGCGGAAATTCTTAATGATGTTTGAAGAAGGGTCCCACGATTTCATTTTGTGCTGAGCCCTCAAAATTATGTCTATTTCCTGGCAGGAAATATCCTATGTTTTCTTGCTCAAACAGCTTTCTCTGAGCAGAAAAGAGGCACTGATATAAAGGGAAGAGAAGGAGGCTCACCAGAGGGAAGAGAACATAGTAAAAATTCCCGCCTTTGGGGAGGTCTGAACCACCCAGGGCCCCCACTGCCACCTCGGCTGGCAAGGGAGAAATGTGTTGTGTTGTCTTAGCTTTAAAACAGTCACAGTTCTTGCTCTATCATAGATGAACAAATACTTTCTTGATCATTTTGTAAGACCAGGAGGTTGGTAAGAGTGACTAACCAGCCTAACTTTAATACACATATATAAAGATGCTCTCAGAGAAAGATGCTCTGTAGAGAATTGGCTACTGAAGTTGGCTCAAGAATTTTTTTTAGTGTTATTTACCAAGATTAGGACGTCAGTGGCTTAAATTCTTTGAATTCTTCTCAAGGACTACAAGATTATTTGATAAAGAGTAGCATGAATGTTGTCCTCTAAGATTACACAGTAAGTTCAAAGAAAAGATATACGTCAAAGGCTTGTTATGTAGAGGGAGAATGGACTGGGATAGAGGACAGAATGATAGTTTCTTCCTTTCATATCACATGTATAGAGAAATAATTATATCAGAAACTCAAACCTAGAGATGGAAAAACAGATTACTGTCTATTGTCAGCATCATTTTAATCTGTAAGTCAGTACTGGAATATGTTTTTCTTTTAATTTCCAGTGACTTTAGAATACACACAGTTTTTCCAACTTTTCAAAATTTTGACTAAATGGTTTTATAGTATATTGTTGGGACCCCATACCGTTAGCCCTTGTGTGTATACCAACACTGCCAAAGTGAAACATTAGGCCAGGCATGGTGGCTGAGGCCTGTAATAACAGCATTTTGGGAGTCTGAGGCAGGTGGATAACTTGAGGTCAGGAGTTCAAAACCAGCCTGGCCAACACAGTGAAACCCTGTCTCTACTAAAAATACAAAATTAGCCGGGTGTGGTGGCACACACCTGTAATCCCAGCTACTCAGGAAGCTGAGGCAGGAAAATCGCTTGAATCCGGGAGGTGGATGTTGTAGTGAGCCGAGATCGTACCACTGCACTCCAGCCTGGATGATGAGCGAAACTCCATCTCAAAAAAAAAAAAAAAAAAAAAAAGAAACCAAAGTGAAACATTAAAAATTCCCTATAGATATATTCCAGGAAACATTTTAATTGGGCAGATTTTAATAAGGGTGTATCAGTGAAGATTACTGAAATTGATTTTATGTCTTTTGTATTTTAATCACTTAAGTTAATCAACCACCGGCAAATCCCATTTGACAAGGATTAGCATTGTAAAAAATAGATACTGTAGTAGATTTCTCGAAATTCATTCACATTTAAGACTTTTAAAATGCAATAATAGCCTTTTGTTTTTCATGAGCATATTCTCACCTATATAAATTACGGCATTTAAAGTTCAAACTCAGTAACTTTTAATCTAGGAAATTGAAAAATGTAAGTTGCAAAGCAAAAAAAGGTATTTTGAAAATACTATTTAATGTTTAACTAGACTATAGGTAGTTCCTTAAGGTTGTTTGACCTGAAGTGGAGTTGGGTTTGGAAGCTGGTGCCCAGTTGGTGCGGAGCGTGTAGTTTTGTTATGAAAGTTCTTTACCACCTGTGTAAGTGACACCAACACCCAGATGTCACGGCTCTCCAGAGCTAGTCAGAAGAGAAATCAAATTAGTGTTTAAACCCATTTGCATATAGACTCGTCAGTACATTTAACTCAATATAACAAGAAATTGTAAAATACTTATATCTTAGAGAAATGAGTGCTGGTTTTGAGCGTTGTTTTTTAACTGAAAGATTATTTCTAGATGGGTATGTGCTTTGTGCTGGTTTCTGCTTCCATATATTTCCCAGGCATTTTAATTAGAGAAGACACTGTGGTAGAACTTTCCTTTCCTTTCTTGGCCAGAGTCTTTACCCTATTTAACCCTTTGTGTATTTCTGACTGCTCACTGTTCATATTATAGGAGACTAGATTTGTAATGTAGAACTCTCCATAACACGAATGAAATTAATCCCGTCCAAGCCAGCATGGTGGCTTCATATTGAGTAGTAACAGAAGTCTGAACAATTGGATAAATTTGACTTCCAAGACAGCTAAACTTTTCAACTGCAATTTTAAAAACTACACTACACTGTTATAGTTAATCTGACAAAAATGTCCTCAAAGAGTACTTTATTTTATTTAAAGCATCTGTTTAATTCAACCTTTAATAATTTTGCAAAGAAGGGTATGTGTGTATTTTAATATAGCCTGACCTGAATTTATATGTTTTTAGCTTTAGTATTTAACATTTTGTAACAAATAAACCTTTTTTAAAACAAGTTTGATGAAGCGTCCTGTGGTTATTTTACCTTGGATGTTGAAATACTGAAATGATTTGGAGAATGCTGCCTTGTATTTTTCAAGCGTAATTATGCTTCACAGGTAATTTTCATTATGTATAAAATATTTAGAATGTGGCTGATACTATAGATGGCTCATATGTGTCATGAGATAAAGAAATTTATATTGTCTTTAACAGTCAAGACCGGAATTTATCTCAGCAAAATAACTGCCTTTGTTTAGAAAAGTGCTTTGATAATTAAACATAGAAGTGAGCCCCTTATAGGCTTGAGTGTTGTCTGGGACCAAGGCTTGGGAAGTGGAGAAGCTGCTCTGCATAATAGATGGAAAAGAATCTGGAATTTCCCAGGGCTGAGGAGCCCAGGCAGGGAGGGGAAAGAGATGAGACAGCCATACCATGAGAATGGATGGTGCATGGAATGATGCGGCTCCTCCCTAGCAGGTTCCCAAATTTTCAGTAAAGCCTACTAAACTCACGAAGGGCTCCACAGTTCCTTTGGAATTATGTTCCTCACACAGATCTTATCTGGACACACATCTTCATAGAAGAGCCCTATTGCCTTTAGTTACCTCCACAGTCCTCTTTGCCATGAGGCCTTTTAGGACTTAGCCCTGTCTTTTCTGCCTGAGCACTCCTCCCGCAGGGAGAAAAGGTGCTGCCATCTTGATACACTGGACTGTCCATTAAGATTGTGTACTGGCAGACTTTAAACTCTTCTTATGGCTTGAGGTGGGTTGCCGTTCCCTGTCTACTTTGCAAACCCCTGCGTATCCTGAAAAGCCCGTCTTAAATATCATTTCTCTTTTGTGTTCTGTCACTTTCCCAGAAAGAATTTGTTGCTTTTGTGTGTGTCTTTCCTTAGCTCTTTGTTCATACCTCTGTTATGGTGCTTATGGCATTTCTAGGTATTTGTGTATTGGTGGTCTCTACTGGGCTATTACTTGAGGGGCAGGGACCGTGTCTTGAATTTTCTTCATGACCTGCTTCCCAACCCTCCATCTAGCATAGGGCCTGGCATAACCTGTGTAATACATGGGACTGAAAAGGCCAGATTGCTTCAGTTGGAACAATAATTGGAAGCTTGCAAATGAAAATGAAAAGCATGCTAACACTTGAAACTGTTCGCTCAATGTCAGGAGTAGCCAGTATCAGCCAGCATGTAGGACCAGGGTGATCAGCGAGGCCAAGTGTATGGGGAGTTGATGAACATAGAATGGAAAAGTGATAAGTGATGGACCACTGAGGAGATGCAGAACATGAACAAAATAGTCCTTGGAGACGTCTTTGCCTGGGAGTCTTCACTGGAGTTTGGGCAGTAAGATGAGATGGGGAGACAGAAGAGTTTTTGTTGGGCATGACAAAGTTGGAAATGCTCTTGGTGCTATACACAGTGTTTGACTGTATGCAGATGTTCCTTCAACTGCATGTACTTAATTTTCCAGGTCCTGAGGCAGGCTGTGTCTCAAAATCTCAGTTGTCCTCTACTGTTATAGCTTAATGTTCAACAGTAAACTAATGATTAGCATAAAAGTGTCTGGCATTCTCTCACATGTTCAGAGCAAAGAGCTCTCTTATTTATAATTATTTAAGAAAATAGCATGCAATTTATGTCACAGCTTGACGAGTTCTTCCTGCCTGCTGCCTCCCAAAAAACCAATGCATTGAGAGCAGCAAGTGTTGTAGCAAAGAAACAACACTTGCAGGGCCAGCCAGGTGAGGAGAATGGGAGACTTTTCTTAATCCACCTCCCTAACAATTCAGCTACTAGGGTTTTCAAGGGTACTTTGGTGGGTAGGGAGCTGGGGAACTGAAATAATTGATTGGCTGGGGATGGAATTACAGGGGTGTGTGTCTAAACTGCCTTCATGCATCTGAGTCAGTTCTGAGGAGGGAGTCTCAGGACCAGGTGGTATCTCTTGGTTTACCAAAATGCTAAATCTGAAAAATACCTGAAAAACCAGTTCTCTAGGTTTCAAAATAGTGATATTATCCGTAGGAGTAGTTGGGGAAATTACAAATTTTGCAGCCTTCGGTTGTATAACTTGGGGGCAGTAAGCAACTTACAGAAAAGCAAGTTAAGCAAACAATGGATGTTTATTGTTCACCCATGCCTATTCTTTAGCAAAGTTCAGGCCCCTATCATAATTCTAACCTTGTGACCTCGTGTTGGTATTTACAAATACAGTTTCAATTTTTGAACAAGGAGATCAGTTCAAGGAGGGAAAGGACTGTTATGATTTCCACACAAGAATGAGCAAAAGCACTTTAGCCTGTTAGAAGCAAGATGGAATCAGTTATGTTAAACTTCCCTGACTACTATAATTTTTGCAAAGGCAGTTTCATTTAATGGACAGGATATATTATTATTTTTTAATTAAGGAGAAAGGAATGGGGATCTCAACCCCTCTTCCTTTGTTGGGCACTTGGAAGATCTGAAGAACTTTTTAACTTAAAAACATATGAACAAAATCCAAAACATTAACTTGCCTTGAAGGTCAAGGCCAGTCCCTCATCTTTGACTTAGTGCCTATCCTGTTTTGTTCATGCCCACGCAAGATTCTGTTTCTTCCCCTACTACCTACAGCACCACTAAAATGCTTTTGCTTTCAATACTTGTAACCTCTAGGACTCCAAAGGTCCCAGTGGTTTGATCTCTGATATGTCATATTCAAACTGAATGGTTCAACACTCAGAAATTACTAAATGGGGTCTCATTCTCTTTATTTTTTGATGGTTAACGTTGTGTAAAAGGTAATATATTTGCCTGGCTCAAAGCTCAAAATAATATAAAAAGTCAACTTTGAGAAGAAAGTGCTAGCTCCCATTCCTTCCCCTCGTGCCCTGCATCCTTCACAGGTACTCAGATTTATTAGTGTCTTGTGCATGAAAACTGTTTATTTATGTGAATACAAGCAAACGAAAGTGCATATTTCTCCTCTTCCTCCCTGTAGGAAACTATAGCCTCCTACAAAATGTCCATATTCCTAATCCCCAGAACCTGTGAATAGGTTGCCTTTCATGGCAAAAGGGATTTTGCTGATTTGATTAAGTTAAGGATCTTGAGATACAGAGATTGTTCCGAGAGGGTTCATTGTAATCATGAGGGCCTTTATAGGAGGGTGGCAGTAGAATGAGCATTAGAGGAGAAGGCAGTGTTGATGGCAAGAGATTTGAAGTGGCTGCCCTTTGCCCTCAGGGGCCCTGAGCCAAGGAATAAAGATGGGTTCTAGAAGCTGGAAATGCCAAGGGGATGGAGTCTTTCCTCAGTGCCCCCAGAAGGAACCAACCTTGCTGAGACCTGGACTTCAGTCATTCTGATTTTGGACTTCTGACCTCCAAAGCTATAAAGAGAATAAGTCCTTTTTTTTTTTTTTTTTTTTTTTTGAGACGGAGTCTCACCCTGTCACCGGGATAGGAGTGCAGTGGCCGGATCTCAGCTCACTGCAAGCTCCGCCTCCCGGGTTTACGCCATTCTCCTGCCTCAGCCTCCCGAGTAGCTGGGACTACAGGT